CCTCTCCTGCCTCACTGTATATGTGCGAGAGCGAGTTACCAGGACATGCCTTTTCATTACTGTCACAAAGAGAAAAAGAGAGAGAAATAAATTGATATAGGAGCCATTCTCGCTTCCCTCAGGCTTGCTTACAGCGGCTTGACAGACCCGGGACAAGCGAGCCACCACTTTCTCTCTCCATTTCACACAGAAAAACCATGTCAGGACTTTCAGCCAGACCAAATCCTCCTCACAACCGATCCAGTTGCACTTCGGTTTGGTCCGAAGCCCTTCCAAAAGAAGTGTGGGAGAACGGTTTATACGGGAAGTATATTATACATTTAAAGACTGCATGCACAATCCTTCATGATTGCTTTAACCCCAAAAGCAACTCAAGAGCACACAAGCCAACAAACCCTTAAATGGACAAAATGTTAGACCAGCGTTCACATCCTCTACTGGTGTGACTGGGGTGATCTACAGTCGTCGGCGTGCTGTTGAATGCATCTGTGTGGTTGATTAGTGTGGTAATGAGTGCAGAGAGGCTTGAGGGACGTGCCGGGCGGCCGTGTGGCTTAAGTGATTGTGGTAATTGAGTGGATAGTGACAGCTTTGCAATGGCCTAATTAAGACTCACTGGACTGAGGCCAAGATTTTACTGTCCTCGTCACACTTTTAACAACCGAACCGAGATGGAAAAACAGAGCTGAAATGCAAATAAAACAAAGCCATCTGTTGTGAAGGTATGTTAACACACAAGCAAAGGAGTTTGGGACATGTTTTATGCGACATTGCAGTCACGTTTAGTGCAATCAATCAATGTATCGCGAACAGCTGGGAAAATGATCTTTTTTCCCTTAGAGACACTTATGATAGATACTCATTTTGCTACTTTGCTTTTACATTTTACATGTATTAATTTAGCTGACGCTTTTATCCAAAGCGACTTACAATTGCTATATATGTCAGAGGTCACACGCCTCTGGAGCAACTAGGGGTTAAGTGTCTTGCTCAGGAACACACAGTGGATTCGAACCCAGGTCTCTCACACCAAAGGTATGTGTCTTATCCACTGCACCATATATACCCCTTTTAAGGGGATGTTTGAATGACACCGTTTTCTATTAAAAACGGAAAACTTTATATGCGTCTTGGCCGTTGACTTACATGACAACAGCGTTTTGATGGCATTTTGAACATGAGTTTCAAAGTGCAAGTTTTTGAAACTATAGCTTTATCGTCTCCGCGTAAACTACAAAAATATGAAATTGTGAAAACTGTGACGTCATGCACATTATGCGTTCAGACTAGACAAAGTGTTCCTTTATGGCTCGTTTCCACTGAGTGGTACATTACGATACGCAATTATTTGCGTTTCCACTGTCAAAAGTTGTAAATGGCACCAAAAAGCCGAACCGTACCACTTTTTGGGTACCCTTCCGTTGGGGTACCCATCACAGTGGTATGGTCCTAAAAGGTGGAGCTAGACTTAGTGCAGAATGGTGATTGGTTGACAAGAGTATCGTCACTTGCGTGTGCTACAAGGGCATTAGAAGCGCCATTTTTTAACGTAGTTGAAATATAATACTATTGTTATTGTGTCACGAAATGTAGTTTTAAGAGTTTTTCAGGCGAGAATGTAGTTTTTTAAAGCTCAAATCTGTGATTTATTTACAGATTTATGATAATTAAACTGAGATCCATTCCAAGCGATCACAGGACGCTCGCGTCCCCCGGCTGGAACAGCCTTTCCTCGGCTAGTCGTTCTGATGTTTGCCGCTGACTCTGACGTCTCTGTAGTGGTTAAACATGAGATATAATTCGTCTCAATTCGTATAGACCTAACACGCTAATTCACCTAATTCGTCACCTAATTCGTCTTACATTCGATATAATTCGTATAGACCTAACAGTCCATCTTTGGTCTCATGAATCTATAATTCGCTCCCTGGCCAATAGTTTTGTTACAATAGTTTAAAACCATCTAGTCTGTTTATCAATGTTTGATCAATACATTTTAGCATATTTTTACTCAACACTCGCCATAGTGTTTTCGCCTGAACCTTACTGGATAGGTGACTGCATAATTGAGTTTACCAATTAAATCAGCTACTGTGCAGTATGGGGTGGGTTTCCGCTTCACTGGGTTGAAACAATTGTGAATTTTTCCACTGAGCATTCTGGGAATGCCTTTCTTATGAGAATACAGGTGATGCCGCCTTTGAATATGACCATAACATATTGGCAAAAAAAAAAAATGTAATGAAACGAATGCTTCACCTTTAGTAACTAAGCATCTAAATGGCTTAGGGTTTTGAAACGATCCAATCACGGGGACAGTTCTAAAATTGAATTTGGCTGTATATGTGCTAAAGATGCTTTAATGTGTCCTTCGGTCTCTCTGTCCCCCTCAGCTCATCTCGCTCTCAGTCCAGTTATCTTTTTCACTCCCTGTCTCCCCTGAGTGTGATAATCAGCACTGCTGAGGGGTAGATGGGGGGGAGGTGGATCGAGATGCCCCTGAACCCCTGCGGTGGTTTATCAGCCCGAGTGTGTCAGCACTGCAGGAGGACAAACCTGTCAGAGCTGAAAGGGTGAGAGAGGGAGGGAGGTTGAAGAGAACGGAGGTGTCAGTGTGTGACTGATTGCGGCCCTCTACTCGCAAGGCTAGCCCCCTTCTCACATCACCCCCGTCTCTGCACACAAATCTCTTCACTCGCACGAACACACACACAAGTGCTTTCAGCATCACTATTCTGTGGTGGAGCAATGTCACAATTAGAAATTTCCAAAAGTACAAATACCGGACAACTAGTTGGTCTTAACGAAGCTCTCCATTTCCAACATTGGTTGAATTTATTATCCAGTGATCTATAAACCTGGTCAGTCGGATGGATATTTGTAATACATATGCACACACAATGTAAAATATATACTTCATTAGTATAACTTATACTATTAAATGTAATATAATAAAGATAAAACTCAAAATAAACAGAATTTTAGGGCCCATTTTTCCCACACTACAGTATAAAATGTATGACGATTACCTTTGACTAGTTAGTGTTAAGGAAGCCCTAAGTACTTAGGGTCCAGACCCACATCATTCAGATTTATTAGGGGGAGCTCACAAGATATGCTTACTTATAGTTTATTGATTTCTTTCCTTTTTTATTTCTGTGCTACAAAAGCAGGCTGTCAGATCAGTCGCTTTCTCGCTCTCGGCTAAAAATACAGAGTGCTTTTGCGGCAGTAACCCACTGCAGTTTGGATGTGGGTTAGTGCTGTGCTCACGCATTGCACTGCTGACCACTGCTTCTGCTACACTGAAGCTCAGACATGCTGAGAACGGTCCTAATTAATGGAGAAAAGTGTGTATGCATTTTGGAGGTGTGTTTTTGGCGAGCAAGGCGGGGGCTGATTTATTCCAGTGTCACCTTGACCCCTGACGCTGAGATACAGCTCAATTAAACAGGATTGGCCCCACGGCACCGCTTTCATCCACTGCCCGTGAGTTCTGCAAAACACGCACACACACGGGGCCAGATTCACTAGATCCAACAACATCCATATGGAGCGCTTTTCGCTTACCTCTGCCACCAAAAAACAAAAATGGTAATGGCCTCAACCAAAATAAAACAGAGAACTAAATGAAAAATCAATACAATAACATTAAGAATCGATTCCTACAGGCTGGATTGGTTCTTCTGTGGTTCCTAATTGCTGTTCTTGGCATCTGTTCCCAAAACACTTTGAATCATTATCCTGTGATCTATAAAACTGGCCTCAGATCGGTGGTAGGACATGAAACAGAATTAACATGAAACAGCCAGTGCAACCTGTTTGACTTTTATAACGCGAGGCGTTTCCAAGTGTAAAACAATATTCAACGATTTGATTGAATTGATTTTCCTTTGCGCCGCTTTCAGGCATAGGGAACACTGAAACATACTTTCCCACTGAATCCCTCACCTAAATCTCACAATTATGTTGGATTGGTTGCCACTGTGGAGATGGACAGAATTAATTCTTTATTAATTTACTTTCGAAAATTTCGTATTTCTTTATTTTCAACGTAATGAAGTACATTATATTTATTTATTTTCTATGGTTATTTTTTATTAGTTTATTATTCATTCATTCAAAAAAAATAGATTTATACAATTGAGGATTAATAAATAGGTGCCAACAAATTTAATGATGAATTTGAATAATTTTCACATTTCCTTTAAACAAACTTTCCTTTAAACTTTTACTTAACTTTTTTTTTAAATAAAATGTATTAATATGCACATTCTATTTAAAATAAAGACATATCTCACAATACGTTAATGTTTTAAATGAGAACTCATTACACATTGGTACCTAGTCGACCATTCTCTGAGATTTGTTTTCATGATAATCGAATGTAAAGAGTTTTATCTCTAAGAACTGTTTAGCGTATACGCTAGTATATGGGGGCATATAATAAGTAAAGAGAAATTGCAAGTTAATACCACTAACAAGGCTCAAAATAGCCCCACACTAACACAGTAACAACAGAAGTTCGCTGAACTTCATACAGTTCAGCTCACTTGGCACGTCATTCGTGATTTGACTAGTCCAGACTGTTTTCCAAAGATGGTGCCGCCTGTATACACGAAGTGAACTGTCTTTATAAAGCATCTTCTTATTAAACGGTCTGTACACTTACAAAGTTCTCAATGCTTCGTTTTGCATGTATGGACCCTCATTATGTTACGGTGTTAGTGTGGGGCTATTTTGAGCCTTGTTAGTGGTATAAACTAGCCATTTCTTTTTACTTATTATATGCCCCCATTACTAGGACTATACACTAAACAGTATTTAGAGATAAAACTCTTTACATTCGATTATCATGAAAACAAATCTTAGAGAACGGTTGACTATGTAACCAATGTTTTATTAGACCAAAGGTTAATTTTGCACCGAGTTCTCCTTTAATGAGGAATTTTGATGACAACCCCCCCACCCCCCAAACGTCGTCGAGCAAGTTAAGGTACCTGCAAAAGCTTTAGAGATATGTTCCTTCTTCCACTCCCACGGTTGGTCGTATTCATCGGCGGGCCTGTCGTCGTCCTGCGGCAGCCTGCTCTCCCTGCCCTCCTCGGGCAGATCCGGCTGCCCTGGGACGCGCTCCTCGTACGGGGTGTCGTAGAGTTGGACCTCCCCTCTCCCCCAAACTCCTGCTCCACCACCGGCTCTCCTCTGCAGCTCTGCAACACCAAACAAACCTATTACAACCTCTCTTCCACATTGATCTTACTCCATTCTGCAAATTTCCTCTTATGAAAAGTCAGTTCTGACCCCTTAAAACAAAAACAAACTGCGTTTGGTCACTTCACATGGTCAGAATCAGCTGCAAAGTGGACCAGACTTTGTGTAGATGGTCCAAAGACTATTGAGAGATCATCAGTTGGATTTGCGAGCAGGCATCTTCGAGACTGAGTTTCATTGTGACGTTCATTAAAATGGTGCGAGACAGGGCGTACTGTTAAATCAAGACACAACAATAAATCGATATGTTCCCTGGGCTCCACAGCTGGGCTCCCTCGCCTGGGCCACATTAATTATGGAAATGTCTGGTGAAGAGTGGCGGGGTATGAATCTGAAGGAGAGACAAATTGTGTTTGCACAGCTTGCTGGTTTCATAGGGGAGGGCTTAACAAAGAGAGAAAGATGTAGATGTGTGTGCGTTTGTAGATCGAGTCCAATTTCAAGGACTGGGGTCTTTCTCTCATTTCCATTATCATACCTCTCAAACGGCAAGAACCAAACAACAGGATGTCTGAATAACCTTCAAGGGCTTTTCAACAAAACATAACATTCGGTTAAAAGCCTATATGAGATGAACTGCAGCTACAACTACTACGCTAATGTAAAGCTCTTCAGGATTTTTCTCCACTTTTAGCTAAAGTTAGATTGCTGAAGTCTTAATTGTCTTAATTCAACAGAAGAACTTGAAGTAGGGAGGAACCAGTATTAAATTGGGGTCAATACCGATAAACTGATAACAACAAATTCTAAACTATTTTGTCTGAATAAATTAAATATAGAACACTAAAAACTAAAATCAAACATTTTAAATTGAATTCGGTGTTATTAAATCTTAAACCATAAAAAAACATTTATCACTTAAAATAAAATGAAACAATTCTAATAAAATAAAATACATTTTAAAAGAAAACATATTTCAGTCGGCAAGGCAACATTTCTCATTTAAATTGAAAACTATAAAAACATTTTTTTTAAACAAATAAAAGACAAAAGTTAATTATTAATATATATTATATTAATTAACAATATAAAAAGTATCATTATTATTATATGATACTAATATAAAAACTATTTTATATTAATGATACTAATATAACACTGTTCAGAATCACAAGATTATAATATACTGCATGAAAAAAATAGATATTCCCTTTGAGATTTGCTAAAAATTACATTAAACATTGTTATTAATATTGTTTACATATTAACTAAGTTAATATTAGATGACAGCAAATGTAATCTAAATGTAGTATTTCTACTTTACTATAGTACTTAATATTTTCAATGGGATTTTATGTTTATATTTTCCTTGTTTATTTTAAGCTTTAGTCATTTTATTATGATTTTTTTTTGTTCAGTTTTAGTTATTTAAACTTAAACTTATTTTATTTCAGTTAGTTGGCAAGGCAAGTTTTTCATGTAATATTATTTTATTTTAGTTTTTTTTTTTTCAAAAGTTTAATTTAGTTTATGTTTAATAGTTTTAGTTATAGATAACAACTTACAGTGACCCTAATAATCCAATTACACTTGTCTAAAGGAGAATTGAAGAGCAAAGAAAATGAAATTGAGAGCAAGAAATTGAAATTGAGAACAAGTCTGAAGTCTGACATAATCAAAAATTCATATTCATGCATATCAAAAAAATATATTCCGATTTCAAGGTTATGACAAATGCGCACATCAACTCAATCACTTTAGCGTTCATATAAACACTATGTACGGATTCATCAATCCGAATGAATTCCTTTAAGATACTGGCATGCACAATTAAATCTCCATTATAAATGAAAAAATCTCTAATATCAGCCTATAATCAATATGGTACCAATATACTGAGCATCCCATGTTCATAACGGCTGATTTTTGTCACGTCAAACGTGAAATCAAACACACCAGACATGGAACGGACTACCCGTTCCGTAAAAAAAGAAACACTGACATGGATGTGCGCTTTAGAGACAAAGAAAGAAGCAGGATTGAGAAGAAACCAGAGTTAAAAGAGAAAGACAAACTTTAACCTTCACACATCCTGCTTCTATTGGGCTCCTTAACCGTCTCCATAGCGACAGAGAGGCCCTGGGGGACCGACCCTGAGGTGGAGGGAGTGAGGGAGTTATGGGAGTGTGTGTTGATGTTAAGTGTTTGTGACGCGTGAGCTAGATTCCCCATACCTGAGAACTGATGGAGAATGAGAGAAGAGATTAACCTGTAGAGATGAATTGAAAATTAAATGAGGCTGCCTTGAAGGCAAGACCGATCTGAGGAGAAATTAAAGTGGATGCTGGGGTCTTGCGAAGAGAAAGTAAGCCAAATTTTCCCTGAAAACCAGGGATGCATTTTTGCATTTCACTGCATTGCTTTTCCATTGTTTAGTTTTTTTTATGTAGTGAGGTAAAAACAAAGCCTATCAATTTGTGTATCTGACTCACAGTATTTCATTAATTATGTCTGTTGTGATGTTAAATAAAGCATTTAAAACATTTCAGCACAGTAAATGTACAGTACACATAGCCTACAGTATGCGCACTTCAATAAGCCCAAAGAATGCAGGTTAATACGTTTACATGCCGGGAGAAATCAGGCACAAAAATCTAGCGATCGGTTTATGCCGTTTATGACTTCACTCCGATAAAGGTGTGAACATAAACACGCTCACTAATTCATCAAAACAGAAAGCACATGTGTTGATATAATGGTGGTCTATGGGGTCCACCTCAAAGAGCGTGCACAGAGAAGTCCAAATTAAACATGATTTAATGACTCGTAAATGTAAGTACACATTGATGGCATAAGACACGAAACGAGCGGTTTGTGTGAGAAAACAAACAGTATTTATATCATTTTTACCTCTTGTAATCACAGTCACGTCCAAGCACACTGAGGGCGCGGGCGCTTCGGTGTCCGCGCAAGCGCGCTCTCAGTGTACTTGGACGTGACTGTGATTACAAGAGGTAAAAATGATATAAATTTCCGATATAAACTTCCGAAATTTCGGTATAAACAATGAGTGACGTACACGCGCGAGAGATCATTTGCGCAGACAGAAGCGCCCGCGCCCTCAGAGTACTTGGACGTGACTGTGATTACAAGAGGTAAAACGATATAAATACTGTTCATTTCCTCACACAAACTGCTCGTTTCGTGTCTTAGGCCATCAATTTGTACTTAAATTTACGAGTCATTAAATCATGTTTAATTTGGACTTCTCTTTGCATGCTCTTTGAGGTGGACCCCATAGACCTCCATTATATGACTGACAGACAAGAACGGTTTGACCTAAAAATATAAAAATTGAAAATACTGTGGAAACAAACACACCTACATCTTGGATGCCCTTTAGGTGAGCTAAAACATAGCTCACCTCAAGAGTTTCTTGAGGTGAGCTATCACAAAATCCCAAAATAAAAGCAAGGAAAATTAAAACAGTTATGGAACCAAACAAAATGTGAAAGTTTCTTCTAAATCCTAATATCAGGGAACCCATGTCGAATTAGCCTTCCTATCCAACAAATTGAAATCATGACTAAATAACTCTACACAAGTTTGTTATAATCATCATTTCTCTGGGCTCTGCCACTACTACCATTGCATTGTGGGACTGCTTCAACTGCAAACAATATATAAAATGCTGCCTTAAGACTTGGCCGGGTCTCTTAGAAATCAGTAAAATGTTAGTGGCTACATTTTGGAATGGTCTTCACATTGGAATGGAAACTTGTCTTAAAATGTTGTCTAACTTGTATCTCTCCAAACAGCACTTGCAGGGGGTAAACAACAATTTGGAAGGAATAAAACAATGAAACAGATTGCATTAACACAACTGTAATCTGTGAGACTCCAGGAGAGAATCAGCAGTGAGTCACCGTCTGAAGGCACTGGACGACTGACAGCGACTCGCTGAGAAAGGCACACTTATAACACTCATACTTCATTCTCTCCATACGACTTAAAGGGCAAACCAGAGTCCGTTGGGGCGTGAGAACATAGACACCAAAATAGAAACGAGAAGAAGTTTGACTGACCGGTTATCACTTTCTGAGCCTCGTAGGGCTCCATGTAGCCGTTGTTCTCAGGAGTGATTGGGCCCTGGGCGGTTTCGGGACGCGGGTCCAAGCGAACATCGAATGGGTCGGAGTAGTCGGTATCGCCCATAACTGGAGCTGATGGAACCACCTGAAATGAGAACAGTCATGTGATGATCTTCACCCAGGAAAGGGAACACAAGTAATCCCTTTAATTCGGTGCAAAGAAATGGAAGATTATCTTAGTTTGCTGAGGGATGAATGTAGATATTTATTTTGAACATAATTCTGCAGCCCCCCCTTAATTTACAGTCAAATAGATGGCACCTTACTTTTTCATTTTTTTTACACTACTATTTGTAAGCACCAAAAAATTTCACTTGAAAATTTCAAAGAAGTTCCCCAAAGTTTTATGACGCAACTACACGAACAGTGCCACGCAAATCAGTTTTTGTCTTAACCGACTCCCTATATAAGCCATAGCTGTCAACATTTGGTTTTCAAAATCCGTGAGATTTGCGCGGGGAACATTCGGTGGGCAGGGTTTGATAACAATGGGCTGAAACTGTATATGTACAATTGTATATGTATGTGTATACAATATTATGTTAATTGTACTGTTTTCCTTGTCGTTCGTCGTATAAGTTTTATTTTTCACAAAGCATTTTTTTTACTTTGCTTCACGCTAGGGCTGTCAATCTTCCTATATAATACTATTCGAATTCCATTCCTTATTTTATGTAATATTCGAATAAAATTCAAATATTAAATGCTCAAATTTATTCTATTATTAATATTTACGACATTACACATTCTTATGGATCATCAATGCCACTATAGCCTGTGGTTGTTACACGTTTGGCCCACTAGAGGGACATCTAACATTACTACAATAAACATTTAGGGGCTGTTTACACCTGGCCACTTCATGCGTTTTCTCAGATTGGATAGCTCTAACGATTCCATTTACACCTGGTCAAATACATGTGTTTTACAAAACAGATATAAATCCGATCTTCAATTCCCGCGCTATATACAGATGTAATGAAGTGCCCGTCACCGAAAGCAGCAGATTTGAGCTGCATTTTATTGATAATCGGCTAATTTCAAAATCAATAAGGGAGAGCGGCAACAGAACTGGTTATATCATTTCATTCCTTTACTTTTAATGAAGATGGTATTGTTAAGCGTCTGCGACTCACTTTCACTTTGATTTGCGATAGATTGCGGCGCGTTGGCTTGATGAATAGGGGCTCATTTCTGAGGTGATGTGATCGTCATATCGCATCGGAAGTTCCGCGAGTCTCCCGCATATTGATAGCGTCTCCCTGATGGGCGCAAATTAGTTAAAATCTCCCGGAATAAGCACATAACATACGTAGCGCGCGGCGCGTGCATGGCAGAGAGGGAGTGAACGAGACCTTGCGAATGTGCCACGCGAAAGCTAGTCCCGCGCTCTCCTATTGTTAATAAGAAAGCGATAAGGGGCCGTTTACACCTGGTCACTTCGGAAGTATATAAAGCAATTTTTGAATAGTAACTTTAGCATTCGAATAGTATTGATTTTTTTAACATTCGAATTATATTCGAATTTCGGAATTCGTTCCAACAGCCCTACTTCACGCAGACCACCCCTCTTGCATTGCGAGTTTGTGCATTTTAGGGGCGGAGCAATGAAGCGAGGGGTGTGTTTGTTTGGGTTATTTCAAATGTCAACAGTGTTTCTTAAAAATCGCTTACTGCACCTTTAAAGGTCCCTTTAAGGTGTCATATTGATATATAATCACAGATATTTAGGACAAATTGTTCAGCTCTACAAAACAAGCACAGTAAACCTGTAACATTTATTTGAACACCAAATTTCCACCAAAAAAGCAGCCCTAGTGTATCCACATAATTTCAAAACATGTACATTTCGAAACAGCACCTCAAAAAGTGCGAGACACTGAAAACCAGCAGACTCGCAAAAATGTGCTACCTTCCCCCGTGAAGCAGAAGGCGGCAGAGGGGAAGTGTTGATGAGCATGTTAGGAGGTGCGTTTGTCTCCCAATCCAGGCTCTGGAGGAAGCCCTCAGTCAGTTGGCACTGGGTCAATTACAAAGATGGCCATATGGTCTCTCAAAACAGGACTTTAGCCAACGGCTCTATGCGCCACCATTCAGGCTGCAAACTATGGCGTGCAACAATCCCCCCATTTCCCACCAGGCAAATCGCCCATTGTCTGGATGATCTTTAACAAGAATAGGAGGACAGTAAATCTGAAATGTCCATTAGGAACACTATAAAAACTTAATTAGGATTACGGTGGAAATTAATGAAGGTTAACAGGGAATGATGCGAAATGATGCTTGCAAGACAATGCACTTAGAGGGTCGCCATTAAATTGGGATTTAAATCGATGGCGCAGCATTGGCAGGGTCGTTCCTCAAGACCAACCAATCAGCACGCTCATCACTGGTACTGATTACAATCAATGAGACTCCACTGAAGGCTGCTGTGTGTCTGTGTGTGTGCATATACCTCAACTGTCTGTCAGTATTGGGTCTCTACTCAATGTCTGATCACAGGAAGAACCTTTCTGGCTCTCATGTGTATTCTCTATGGGAATGCCCCATCCCTACCAGCCTAACTAAACAATGTATTATTCAAGAGCTTCAGCTTTGGTGGATCAAAAGGTTTTGACACCTACGGTGCTCTGAGACACTTAATCTAATGCAGGGTTAACAGAGGGTTTACATGAAAGATTGTTTCACACCGCAAATCACTTGTTTGACAGTTTGTTTTATGTATTTCATAACCTGACGGCTTCAGGTGTCCTTAAACCCCTCAGATCTTCGACTACATAACGTTTCGAAACACAGTAAATTGTGTATATTGAGTTTAAGTATAAATAATATACAAGCATACACTGTAAAAATGTATTTTAAGTTTCAAAAAACACTATTTCAGTCTTTCAACTTCAAAATTTCACATTTAATTCGACGTCACTTGCCCATTTGTTTGTAATTATTTGCGAAATTTACTAGCAAAAATTATGATTGTCTTCAAAGTTGCTTAAACACACCCTATATCCCATTGGATAGTCAAATAGATAGCCCCGCCTCCAGGCACACACCATTGGTTAAGCCAATGTTTTCGTGTTGGGCTGGTTGGTTGTGTTTAAACTACAAAAAAAAATTATTATTAATATTTTACATATTATTCATGGCAAAAATGTATTTCAAAATATTTGAAAACAGGAAATTTACGTGTTCGGGCTTTTGTTCAATTCGTCCAATGCAGATAATCTCAAAACAGACAAACAAATAACTGATTACTAATATGTATATTTAAATGACTCACCGGATCTGTTGCTTCCTCTAAAGACACAGAGCTCAGGAGAATCTTGCTCCGTCCCAGGTCTTGCGAGTCCACCTTTATGAGGCGATGTTTCGGCGAAACGGCCTTGATATCCAGACTTGAGGATTTCAAAGGAGATCCGAAGCCCATGTGGGGAACTTCAGTTGACCCATTGTCATTTCTAGCCCTGTTCTCAAAGTCTTCATAAGGGTCTTCAAAGTCTAGGTTCTTCTGTGCACGATACGCCTTCAATATCTCACTCTCCGTGTAGTCCGGTTTCGGCGGTTGCGGGGGAACACGTTTGCTCCCAAAACTTAAATAGTCCTTTAACCACTTTGCCATTCTAATCTGTTTGTTAATGTCCAACAGTGAAGGACACAAAGAGTAAGTGTCCAATGATGACCAATAATCTGAGGTCAAGGAACTAGATTATGGAGAAAATTAGTGTATCCTGAAATTAAGATGAATACCTTTGGGAGAACACACTGAATTCATGTTTCAGTTCAAAGGCATGGCTGTGGTCCAAGGTCAATCCCTGGGAATACCGACCTGGAATTACAGGTGGTCCATGGACGGCAATGAGGTTCTTGAGGTTCTCAACACCTCTGGAACAGCAGAAATACACATTCAGGAATGAGATAAATGCATGCAAAAGAAAAGAAAATAATAATACATGTAACAAAATATCCATATAAAGTATTACATGATACATGTATAGTCTTCTGATCAATAATATGTCCTACTACTACAGACATGTCAGATAGATAGATAGATAGATAGATAGATAGATAGATAGATAGATAGATAGATAGATAGACTTTAGTATATAATAAAACTGTGTGGACGAAGAGCAGCTGCAACAAGCTGTTAAAGAACAAAAGCAAACAAACTGGTTTCGCACGTGCTTGTGATGCGCACAATAAACCATCTCAGTTCAACCACCAGAAGAAATTATTTCACATAACCTCAACATTGACAATCACTTTAGAGTAAAAAAATAATAATAATTGAGCAACTCTCTATGATAAACAGCCGAGAACTCTTGTAAACTAAACGTGAACGCGCGTCTGCGACCAACAGTCGCACTTTTATTCAACGTTAAACATTTTGCAGCTGACATGGTGAACACTTTATCCAATATATCACTGTATATGATTTTAGATCAAATTAAACGCCACCGAAAAGACCAAGTTGTGATACTCACGTTTTTTATTGCAATGTTAAATTATCGTGCAACTCCGTTCCCGTGGTCCGAATGTTACAATGTTGTACGAGGACGACAACAACACACGCGGCAATAACGTGATGAAGAACGTGCTCGCTGCTGGAGAATATATGAGAAGAATACGAGAAGAACTGTAAAGCTCGTATGAACGCGTCTGGTTGTAGTGAGTGAGAGAGGGAGAGCAACTGAGCGAGAGAGCTGTGGCGTTTAAAGGGGAGGTCCTCACATCCAGAGGTGCTGTGTTTTCCCTTTGGCCGATTATTATTAGAAGCTCTGGTGGCATACATCTTGCAGTAAGATCTGCTTTTAATAGGTGTATTGTTGTTGTTGTCACTGTTTAAGATTGGAGACTGTTAACGACAATCAATACATAAATAAACAAAACCCCACACTTTTTAGTCCAGCGAATATTTCTCTGAATGGATTTATTTTAAACAGACAGTTCAATTAAAAAACTCTTCACAATATTATAAAAGATGCAGCCTTTATGGAACACATTGTCACACTAAATGGGGTAAGTTGTCACAATATAACCCAACTTCAAATGGTCGGTTATAGGCTTATCGATAGATAGATAGATAGATAGATAGATAGATAGATAGATAGATAGATAGATAGATAGATAGATAGATAGATAGATAGATAGATAGATAGATAGATAGATAGATAGATAGATAGATAGATAGATAGATAGATAGATAGATAGATAGATAGATAGATAGATAGATAGATAGATAGATAGATAGATAGATAGATAGATAGATAGATTAAAGGGACAAACACCTCCTCAAAGAAGCTTTCACACCTGTGAACCTCTATGACAGGATCTGACAGGCTCACCAAAGTGTTAATGATGTGAAGGTGTGTGTAAAGTGATTTGCACACCAGAATGCTCTGCCTCTCTCTCAGTTACACATTTGGAGACTGAGCATGGAGGTAGAAAGACATCAAACTGAGGCCCAAGGCTAATCATTTAAACACAACAAATAGCAAACACACATCTGTGCTGCTATAGCTTGATGTTGCAGATGTCTTAATGTCATTCAGATGCAAACTGAATTCAAAGAAGAAGCAGATGACATTGTCAGCATATATCTACTACTTTCCATGCCGTTCAAATGTGAACCTGGCTCACTATATAAGCCTCACTATATAAAGACGCTGTTTTTACGACAGCCATGATCTCACTCTCTCTTCCTCCCCACATGGAGCGAGGGATGAGGTCATAGCAGACGGCATCCACCACCCCCTCCATTACCAGCCAGTGTCGACACACATCTTCCCTCACTTTTCTAAATTGCCCCTTTCAAATGGGGACATGTTAGAGAGAGGAAGGGCCTCCTGGGACAAAGAAAACGCCAGAACAGAGAGGGAAATTGCCCTTTTTTTAAGAAAGACCGAAGGGAAAAGGAAAAAGGTTAATATATGGTTTGAATATTATACATGCATAGATTTGCATTTTTGCCTTAGGTATAGCAGTAAATGTTCTTAAACTGATTGTAGGATTTTATGTTTAAAAAAAAAAAGCAAATAAATAAAAATACCTTTACATAAACAATATGCGCATGCATGCTTTCTAATGGAATATATGAGGTAATGTGAAAATAAAATGACATAATGAATCACAATATGTTTAATTCATTTAATAATTAAAACTATTGCTATTTTCCTCTTCCTTTGCTGTACTAGATTTATTTATTTTATATTTATTTGTTTATCCCACGTTAAATACATAATACAATATTTAATACGCATTTATATTGTAATATAAAATATATTGTACATATATTATCCACATACTGTATAAGTCGTATTGGATTGGATTGTAAAAATGTTTGAAGAGCCAATATGAACACATTAATTTAGTATTTATCGCCCCCTAGTGGTGATTCATATGCATCGCCTCATCTGAATTTCCACGTGCTCCTTAGACGTTTGGAGAATTTTGTTTTGTTTTTTACAGTACTCAGATATAATTACAGTGTGTTATAGCTTTTAAAATAACTATATAAACAATGTTATAATAAATGAGTTGATAAATAAAACATAAGCCTCACCGGCTAAAGAAAATATTTGCTTCAAATTAGTATTCCTAGTGCAATATTTAAGGAACGTCCTGTGATACATGCATTCTAAGCACTGATGGACGATTGGCTTTTGGTATTTTAAAATATTTTATTTTATATAGCCAGCCTATATACTTATATTTTACATTTTCTTATGTTATTCTTATTAAATTCAGCGTCTTATTATTTTATAATTTAACACTGCTTTGCATCAAAACAGAGACGCGCACATAGGGACACGCATCGGTGAATCGCACGTGAAGTTTGAAACATGCGGTGCGAGGAACTGTCAATCAAGACTCTACTGCCCGCCTCTCGTCGCTGATTGGTCAGATTTCGTGCCCAGTCTGCTAAATCCAACAGGCGTGTATTCTGCAAATTACGTCAGGGCATCCCACAACAGGACAGATCCCATACTGCAGACCTTAGGAAAGCAAAAGAATAACACCATACTCTGAATGTAAGTCATTGTGCATTTATATTTTATTACTCTATAAAGCTTCTCTGTTTATTTATATGCTTCATAGAGTTTAGTCTTCTTTAAACATGTGGTTAGAGCAAAAGCGATCATTCAAAATATAAATAATGATACAAAATAAACTATGACGCAAAATCGCTGTCGATTCGATGTGAGACTTACTGAACTACATCATTTTTTTATTCACATTAGGCCTATATAATATTTTTTCACAAGCACCTGTGTGTAAAAGAGCAGACTATTTTAATTTTCCTAATAAAAATGTGTTGTTTTGTTTATTACAGCTCATGAACTACTTTAGAACAAGATGAAAACCTTAAAAGCAAAGTTCAAGAAGACAGAGGTAAGAGCCTGTCACGTACTAAGTATGCTAGGTTTCTTATGTTTGACCATTAATCCAAGCCATTATGTAAGCAAAACTGTTTTATATACTGTTTGATGTTAGTTAAGCTGTTAAATCTCTTGAGTATCTTTCTTTGGAGACTTGTTGCTTTGTATCAGTAATGTGTTTTACCATTAGAGGAGCAGGCCAGCCTGAAGACGGCACCTGTAACCAGAGACCTCGATAGTGTTCAATTATTGAAACACATTCATACACACTCACTCACAGACTGAGTATATACTGCGGTCGTCGTTGTTTTGAGTGTTCATTTAGCATTGGAAGCTTTTATGGCTCTTCGTCTTCTTTAAAATATTATGGTATTGGATGTAATCCCACTGTGTGAAGATGAAATGTGTGTGTGTGTGTTTTCCCCCTGCTGAGGTGGTGTATCAGATTTGAAGTTGTGTTGGGATGAACAGATAGATGACCCTCTGTAGGGGAGAGAAAGTGAGCTGCTGGTTTTCTCTTTGTTTTTAATATTATCTTTCATTCGAGCCTCATGTCTGGGTCAGATGTCCACAGGGAAACTGTCTCTGCTGTTGCTGATGGGGTCATAAAGTCAATGATGGATGGATAATATATGAGAGTGTGTTAAAGTTATATTTCTCTGGATGATTGGCTCTTGTTAAACACTTTTACTTATCAATAGTAATTTTATTTGCATTGAGAGCTGATCTCTATCAGTCTCTAGGTTTCTAGGTACATTTAGTAAGCAATATAACAACTCTGAATGATAATATGCTTTATGATCATGTAAAGTAAAAGTCTAATCAAACCTACTTTTTTTTATGCTGACTATTATTTTTATCTCAAAATTAGGGCTGTCAAACGATTAATCGCGATTAATCGCATCCAAAATAAAAGTTTGTGTTTACATAATATTATGTGGGTGAACTGTGTATTTTGTATACATTATTTAAGAAAAAATTTATATTTCATAAAATATAAAATATTTATATTTATATATAACATAAATTATATATAAATCTATACAGTATATACATGAAAATATTTCTTCAATATATACAAGCATGTTGGTGTTTATATATATATTTATAATAATTATACACAGTGTACCCACATATATTATATAAACACAAACTTTTATTTTGGATGCGATTAATCACAATTAATCGTTTGACAGCGTTACTCAACATATGTCACATTGCAGAAATAAAATGGCTTGTGAACACTATTTTATATTGACTTTCATGCTGGAGACTTTTAACCAGTTGCGAAATTGTCGCAAAATCGCTAAAATAATGGGTTCTCTTAAAAGGGATTGGACAAAAATATTGCTACACCTTTGTGTGAAAAAGATGAGTCATCAATATTTATTAAGGCTGTCAAACGATTAATCGCGATTAATTGCATCCAAAATAATGAATAAAAATAAGTTTGTGTTTACATAATGTATGTGGGTGCACTGTGTTTAATTATTTGTTATATATATAAATACACACACATGCTTGTATATTTAAGAAAAAAAACATTATATATAAAAATTTTATATTTATATATAATATAAATTATATATAAATCTATATACATGAAAATATTTCTTAAATATATACAAGCATGTGTGTGTATTTATATATGTAAAATAATTATACAAAGTGCTCCCACATATATTTTGTAAACACAAACATTTATTTTGGATGCGATTAATCGCGATTAATCGTTTGACAGCCCTAATATTTATGCATCAAGATGCCTGTTTTTGCCAAAGCTAGTTTGGACACTGACTAAAAAAAAACACAAAAGTGATATTCTACAGCATCACATCGTCACAGGAAATGACTTAATCAGACTGAGTTAGCATTAAAGTGATACACTAGTGTGCTCTAGACTGTTTATTTTTATACCTCCATTTAGTCTGATTGCTGACTGTGTATTTCTCTCTGGTGTTTGCTGAGCTCTCACCCCCGGATGCTAGTACAGTAGCTTTGGGACCAGAGAATGTTTAGAAGGAGAGAGAGAGAGAGAGAAGTTAGACAGAATTGGGATGGAGAGTAAAAAAGAAGGACACCGGGACAGAGAGGTGTGTGCGTGCCAGGCAGAGACTGCAGTGTGTGTCGTACATCTCCGCAGACAGCAGAACAGGACGGCATAGCAAGATTTGGACTCGACAAAGCAGGACAGATTTCAGCAATTGTTACATATTGAGTGGCATTTAGGTCTTCGTGTTGTTACCGACAGATTAGATATAAAGTCTTAACCTTGGCTCTTTTGCGACAGAATGACAGGATGTTCAGGTTCAGTTCATTTGAACTTTTTTGTGGAAGTATTCAGGGTCTTTGTTGAGGTTTCATACATCCTCTGAGCTCTATGGATCCTCATGTCGTCTTTAGCCCAATGAAACGCTTCTGCATGTGTTACGGTGTCATTACGGTACGTACAGCCATACACATGGAAACAGGAGACTGCATTGCAACAATATTTCTTAATCGTTTCATTTTTGTTTTTTAGTAGGGCTGTCAAACGATTAATCGCGATTAATCGCATCCAAAAATAAAAGTTTGTGTTTACATAATATATGTGGGTGCACTGTGTATAATTATTTTGTATATATACAGTATATAAATACACACATGCTTGAATATATTTAAGAAATATTTTCATGTATATAGATTTATATATAATTTATATGATATGTAAATATAAATAAATATTCATGCATGTGCATGTATTTATATATACAAAATAATTATACACAGTGCACCCACATATATTATGTAAACACAAACTTTTATTTTGGATGCGATTAATCGCGATTAATCGTTTGACAGCCCTATTTTTTAGTCAATATATCTGAACATCCTCAAAACAAGATAAATGTACTTGAGAAGCAAAAAAAAAAAAATCGTGTCCCAATGATTTATGAATACGTTTCCTTGTTTTTAGCTCAAATAGTTGAAATATTTTGATTTAATGAAAACGAGGGAACAAAGTAGTACAACATGGTCACAACTGAACTAAAACAGGAATAAATCTGCACAATGTGGTCGCGATGTAACCAGAATGAGTCGAATGAAATTAGTACTTTTTTTTTAATTCAATGAAATGAATGTTTGATATTACAGTTCGATAATGTTTTTATTTAAATATTTGTATTTTTAGGGTATTTTACTGGACTAAATTATATTTATCAAATAGTTATAATCAATTTATTACCTGTGAATCACTTTTTAACAAAAAAGTCCAACTGAAACTGTCGTAAATCTTGAATGCTTTTGGAGCACTTCTTTTTGAAAGAATACACTTAAGTTAGTTTTTAAAGTTAGTTTTTAAAGTGAAACTAAAAAACTTATGGAAGTTTAAGTTTATTATGAAAATGCACAAAAATACTATTTTCACATTATATATGAAATAGCCTATATCATTTCCTAAACATGTTTTACTGTAAAACTGAGAAAATCAAAGCTTTAAATCTAAACAAGTAGGCTAGTGTTCCACATTTGAGGTTGATATCTCAAAAAAAAGATTTTGTCTGGGCGCAGTACCAAACTTTTCCACTAGATGAAATTTGTCTCCCATTAAATTCCAATGCAGTCATTTTTGACCCAGAACCAGTCACAAGTGTGACTTATTTTTCCATGACCATTTAACCTTTTCAAATAAGGTCTTTGATTTTTTTTGTGTTCACATAGCAAGTGCCAAAATCTTCGCCAAGTTTCGTACCATTTCGATGAAGTAAAAACTTCACAAAAAATAAAAAAAATAAAAAAATAAACGTTTCAGAACAGAACTGGAGAGTTAACAAATTTGTACAATGTGGTCACAATTTAACCAAAAAAATAGAACAAATTATTATGTAAAAAAAATGTGCGTATATATATATATTATTATATTTATATGTATACACACCAATTTATGTAATGTATGCATATATTTATATATATACAGTATATAGGCCTACACAATATATACACATATATTATATAAACAAAAAACATTTGTTAGATGCGATTAATAGTGATTCATCGATTTGACAGCACTTTTTTATACTTAAAACAGGAGAATTTTTTGTTTGCAAGTGGAATAAAATAAAATTCATGATATATTCTCTGAAAATGTCTTAATATTTTCAATTTATTCAAGTGAATTTATCTTGTTTTAATTTTTTTTTTTTTTTTTTTACTATTTGAACAATTATACAATAGTTTCAGAATTGATACTTTTTAAAATAGTTTATGTTTGTAAAAGATTATGCAGTAGTTTTGGGTCACGTATAAATAAAATTGTTTGTATTTTATTTATTTTTTTCAGTTAATTGGGGATGGTGTAAACTTTTATACTAGTGTAAAAGATGTGTGTCTCTGTGTTTCTAGAGTCAGGACTGGAGTAAGACCGATGATAGATTGTTGCAGGCCGTTGAACAGAATGATCCGGAAAAAGTATCCACGCTGCTGGTGAAGAAAGGTCTCTGCCCGTCCAAACTGGACACGGAGGGCAAATCAGCGTGAGTGGACTATTGATTTCAACTCAGATGTTAAACCTATATATACTCTGGCCTCGCTTTAGTGGCATTCTTGTAAAATAAAGTTAAAAAAACACATCAAAAATCAAAAACATTGCTCACAGGTTCCATCTTTGTGCATCTCGAGGTCGGTTGGATTGTCTAGAGGTCATCCTCTCTCATGGGGTGGACATGAACGTAACGGACGGCACAGGTACGATTTACTCGGCTAGTTTTACTAATGGAAGTATTGATAGAGTTCAATGAGATCTGTTGGTTTCTCTTCGTAGGTTTTAATGCTCTCCATCTTGCTGCCAAGAATGGACAGTCAGATTGTCTAAAGAGACTTCTTCAGGTAGGGGTCTTGAACATAATCCCATAGTCCTAGAAAAATAGAGCTAATATTGATGTTCACTTGTAATGTTCGTCTTGTAGGAGAGGATGCCTGTCGACTCCACGGACAGTTTCGGGAGGACTTCCCTTCACCATGCTGGTAATAAAATATATTCAAACATTTTAACATTATACAAAACGTTGTATTTGTGTGTAATAGGAAGCTGTTTTTGGTTCATTGCGTATTTGTTTCTGTGCAGCTGTAAGTGGCTGCTTGTCCTGCACTGAGATTTTGTGGGACTTTAAAGCCAACCTTGATGCTCAAGATGGAGTAAGTTTATTTGAACACTATGTGAAAAGATCATTTACTCTTGTATGTGAAGTGACTTTCGAGATATACTTTTTATTAGTAAAGGCATTGGTGTATTCACCAAATGTTGAGTACAGGAAGTGGAAAATGTTGTTGAATTTCCTGTTTTCTCTTAGGATGGGTCAACTCCATTGATCTTGGGGGCCCAGATGAGCAGAGTCGAGCTGTGTGCCTTTCTTTTGGAACGAGGAGCCAATCCTAATTTACAGGATAACCAGGGCAGGTTGGATATGCTTTAGACAGCTGGTATACAATTTGGAGGATCTTTAACATTTTATTTAGTTTTGTTTTATTTTCAAAAAGGACAAAATAGGCTACTGGATGGCTAAAATAGATTATAATTATTAGATGAATTGTTGTCTTGTTGTTGCCAATTAAAATTTTCAAAACAGAAATCTGAACTAAAAATCAATTAAAGCTAAATACTGTAGAAATGAAAATAATAATAAAAATAACAAAGCACATAAGCTTAAACTAAAAACCGATTAATTATATATAAATAAAATTATTAAATACTATAATAGTAAATAAATAATACTAAAGTAACGCTGGTTTAAATCACTATGTAAGAAAACTTCTGATAACTTTTACTTCAGTGAAAAGCCATCAGACGTGTATTTTTAATGTAATTGTTGTATTATTAATTTCTCACACAGGCACAATTTATCAAAATGAAAATACAGCAAAAAAACTATTAAAAATAATTAAATAAAATAATTTTTTGTTTTGTTTTTGTTGTTGTTTTTAGTCCTTTTGAGTTGGTTTTTAATTAGTTTATTCTGTTCGCAATGCTTTATGGGATTATAGTTCTTTCCTTGTACCTTTATATTTTTGTCCAAATTTTTTTTTTCTGCTTCAAATCAGTGTTTGTAATGTTATGATTCACCTCGTAGCTGGTTGGCTTAAAACAATTTTGAGGGATAGTTCATCCAGAAATTAAAGGAGTAGTTCACTTTTAAAAAAAACTTTTGCTGATAATTTACTCACCCCCATGTCATCCAAGATGTCCATGTCTTTCTTTCTTCAGTAGAAAAGAAATTAAGGTTTTTGATGAATTTGAAAACATTCCAGGATTTTTCTCCATATAATGGACTTCAATGGGAACCAAACGGTTCAAGGTCAAAATGACCGTTTCAGTGCAAACTGCAAACTGTCCAAAGGGCTTTAAAAAATTCCAGACGATGAATAAGGGTCTTATCAAGCGAAACGATCGCTCATTTAAAAAATAAATAACAAAGTTTAAGTTTTATAAGCTCAAATGGTCGCCTTGCTCTGTTCTGTGATGCGCGTTCGTGACTCTCCTGTTCGAACTCGTTCATCAAAATGAACAAATCTTTTTTCGAGTCATTTGGTTCATTTAACGAACGAAATGAATGAATTGACTCAGAAAAAGATTCGTTCATTTTGATGAACGAGTTCGAACAGGAGAGTCACGCAGAACAGAGCAAGGCGAGCATTTGAGCTTATAAAACTTAAACGTTGTTATTTTTTTTAAATCGTTTCGCTTGATAAGACCCTTATTCATCGTCTGGAATCGTTTAAAGCCCTTTGAACAGTTTGCACTGAAACTGTCTTTTGGACCTTGAACCGTTTGGTTCCCATTGAAGTCCATTACATGGAGAAAAATCCTGGAATGTTTTCATCAAAAACCTTCATTTCTTTTCGACTGAAGAAAGAAAGACATGGACATCTTGGATGACATGGGGGTGAGTAAATTATCAGCGAAAGTTTTTTTTTTAAGTGAACTGCTCCTTTCTGGGTAAACTATCCCTTTAATGAAGACTTTTTAAAAATCCCTATGGGAGAAATGGATGGAAAATATACTTACAGAACCCGTGCACTAATGCACTCTATTTGTCCTGTGTGGTATCATGTGTTTCGAGGCAGATCAGCGTTGATGTTGGCCTGCGAGAGTGACAGCATGGAGACTGTAGAGATGTTACTGAAGGGCGGAGCTAACCCACACCTAACCGACGCCCTGGGACATAACTCCGCCCACTACAGCATCACTGCCGGCAATCACAATATAACCCAGCTTCTGCAGAACGAAGGCGTGACCGCAGGTAATACATCTACTGTAGCCCTCACCTTTAATTCCTCAGAGAGAGGGGCCATCTGGAGCTTGGTGGTTCTTACTCCCCTTGCCTCTGATGTTTGGCCCCATCTCCACTTTGATACACTCGTAATCTGAGAGGAGAGGCTAAAAAGCAGATGTTACGTTGGGTCAATGGATGAAAACATGGAGAAGTTTGCTAACTCGAGTTACAAAGGCTGATTGGAAACATATGTCGGACTGAGATGGAAATGGGACCCCAGTGTTAATAAAGGGCCCCTCCTGACAGAGTGATAAATGTGCTGCCTGTCTGCTTTCATGTTGCCTCTTTTTTTGACTGCAACAGCGAACATGTGGTGGAACGGGAAGATTATATATAGATTATATATGTTTAAACATGGTTTACTATGTGTTTTTGGAGTGGTGTGTGTAAGTCTCACCGCACTGCTGTCTGTTTCTTATTTCTGTCCTGTGCATTCCCAGCAGCTGAGGGTTCGAATGAGGAGGTAATTCTTATTAATGGCATTTTTTTCACAAATGCCATTAAAGGAGTAGTTCACTTTTTAAAAAAAACTTTTGCTGATAATTTACTCACCCCCATGTCATCCAAGATATCCATGTCATTCTTTCTTCAGTCGAAAAGAAATTAAGGTTTTTGATGAACACATTCCAGGATTTTTCTCCATATAATGGACTTCAATGGGAACCAAATGGTTCAAGGTCCAAAAGACAGTTTCAGTGCAAACTGTTCAAAGGGCTTTAAACGATTTCAGACGATGAATAAGGGTCTTTTTTCGAGTCATTTGGTTCATACAATGAAAAAATGAACGAATTGACTCGGAAAAAGATTCGTTCATTTTGATGAACGAGTTCGAACAGGAGAGTCACGAACGTGCATCACAGAACAGAGCAAGTCGAGCATTTGAGCTTATAAAACGTAAACTTTTTTTTTTTTTTTTTTAAATGAGCGATCGTTTCACTTGATAAGACCCTTTTTCATCGTCTGGAATCATTTAAAGCCCTTTGAACAGTTTGCAATTTGCACTGAAACTGTCTTTTGGACCTTGGACCATTTGGTTCCCATTGAAGTCCATTATATGGAGAAAAATCCTGGAATGTTTTCCTCAAAAACCTTCTTTTCGACTGAAGAAAGACTGACATGGACATCTTGGATGACATGGGGGTGAGTAAATTATCAGCAAAGGTTTTTAAAAAAAAAAAAGTGAACTACTCCTTTAATGCCACACTTCATCACATGCATACAAATAACTAAACCACAGAAAACCTTCAAAGACAGTCAGGGATGCATTTTGCTGCTGTAAAATAGCAATGTTTCACAAATATTGTAGTAATTCAACTTAGAGTAACTTAGACTAACTATTATCTAAACTGCTTGATTTGAAGGTGAAGTCTGAAACTCTTGCACCCCAACTTGCCAACTTCTGAATTGCCAACTTCTTGCCTAAACTTCTGGTTTAAGACGGATTCACTTTTATCATTGTTCTATAATTTTTTGTGGCCGAAATCCAGTCATTTTAATAGGAATTCTGAAATCTTGAATTCTGTTTGAGGGGAATTTACTTTTCCACACAGATTTTATACTGTACTGTTTTTATACTTTATACTACAGATTTTATACTGTTTTGTACTTCTATATACTGTACATCACTACACTATTGACAATGGACTTTTTTGCCGGCAAAATTTTGCTAATGTTACCACACCTCATATAGTTGTATATAGTATATATACGTATATGTATATAGGGAAAAGCATTTAATCCAATTTTTACTTTAACATTACAAAAGAATGCATTTCACCTTTAAGTATTCACAACATTGACGTTGTGAAGACAGACCGACGCGCATGTTACAAATCTGACTAACACTGCTGCTACTTGCTTTGCTTTCTAACCTGTGCATCCTGAAACCCCGCCCACTCCAGCAGGCTCCTCCTACTCCCAATCCCCCATCTAGCGGAACCACTCCCCGCAAGAGGAAAGCCCCTCCTCCTCCTAAATCTCCTGCTCAGGTACAACATGGGATTCATGGATCCCGTGAAACATTGCTGAAAAGGACAAATAAACACCGTAACAGCATGGACTTTTCATTTTGCGTGAAATTTAATTCCTTTAAATGCATGACAGTGGGTTTCATTAGTTAATCATTTCATGGATTATTTGTATTTATGTGCACAGGAGAACTTCTCGAAAACAAATTGTCTGGTTAATTTATAACCCGTTTGTACGCAGATGAATTTGTTCTTAACCTCATTCTAATGTTAATGAATTTGGAATATCCTAATTTAGTGATTTGCATAAAATATGCCTAGACCATCTCCATACAAGGGCTTTCCTAGCAATTTGTTGTTTTTTTGTGTGAAAACATTCGTACATAAATTTCACGCACGAATTTGTGCATACGCAAATGTACAAATAATCTGTTTGATTTTTTTTGTATTTTTTCACAAATTCTGTTTTTTGAATTTTTAATTTACATATATGCTAAATTCTAAATTTAAGATTGTAATCTGTGATTCAGTCTGCATTTTCTGCATTATTAAAATTATAGGGCCCTAATTTCATACACATGCTTATTGAATGGCACCCATTGTTTTCACTTAAAGGCATGGCTTATGCTTACTAATTTTGCAGGGCCCGCCCCCTTCTTCAGACGCCTCAAGTATGCCACCTCCCCCTGACCCCACACAATCACCTGAATCCCAGAGCCCTTCTCCACCTTCTCCCGCCCCCAGGACCCAACGTCCCGCATCTGAAAACCTTGTGAGTGGCAACGAATTAAGCGTTTAATGATTTGCAGCCCTAATTGTTCCAAAATAACCCATAGTCAGCGGTTACCGTCCATTTTAATCAATGTTGGGGGTAACGCATTACGAGATCCGCGAGTTACGTAATCAGATTACTTTATTTTTACAACAAAAAAGTTACTTTTCAAATAATTAACGCAAGTTACTTTCTTCTCCCACTTATTGACTATTAAATACTTTATGTATTTCAACTCACTTTTTTATTATCCAGTGCCTTTGCTGCTGACCTTCGGTTTTACACTTCGAGTTTACATCTCATAAGACTTAGATTTAGTCTGACTTTATAACACGCAATTGCAATTTATATCTCGGAATTCTGACTTTATAACACGCAATTGCGACATTATATCACGCATTTCTGACTTTATAACACGCAATTTCGAGATTATATCACGCATTTCTGACTTTATAACACGCAATTGCGAGATTATATCACGCATTTCTGACTTTATAACACGCAATTTCGAGATTATATCACGCATTTCTGACTTTATATCTCGCAATTCTGAGATTATATCAATTTCTGACTCACGCAATTGTGAGACGCAAACTTTATAATTGTGAGATTATATCACGCATTTATGACTTTATAACACGCAATTGTTATATACGCATTTCTGACTTTATAACACGCAATTTCAAGATTATATCAAGCATTTCTGACTTTATATCTCGCAATTCTGAGAGATAAAGTCAGAATTGTGAGACGCAAACTCATAATTGTGAGATTGTTACATTTCCTTCGTCCTGAGGAAATTCATTTGACGTGTGATGGTAGCGTAACTCGTTACTCTCCATCCATATGCATTACTTTCCATTTCCTAAGTAACGCAACCGCTTACTTTTTTAGGGAGTAACGCAATATTGTAACACATTGCTTTTAAAAGTAACTTTCCCCAACACTGGTTATAATAATATACACATTTCGTAATTTGAAATAATCATATACGCAGTTTTCCATGTGACTACGTTGCAATGTGTGTTTGTGTGTCAGACGGAGGATGAGGAGGTCTTTGAAGAGATCCGTAAGCTCAGGCTGGAGAGAGGTCGCCTATTGCAGAAAATTAAAGTTCTGGAGCAGCAGCAGAGTAGCGCCACCACTGCCCTGGAGGAGGTACTGCACTTCTTTAACTATAATACACTTTTTAGCACTGACGGGGAACAAAATGAAATTTGAAACTCTTGAAAAGTCACATTTCAGTTAAAGGGGATGCTTTACCTTCAGAAAAATCTGATTGTGAACCGCAGGGGTCCTTGCCAATAAATCAAAACATATGAAATTTGAAGGATTTTGTTGAATGATAATTGTTTTTCAGCTGAACTCTCTGAGAGAGCGCCTGAGCAAGACTGAGGCAGAGCGTGACCGGCTGCTGGCCGAGCTGGAGGAGTTGAGAACGGCTCGGGTGAGCGGCGTGACCTGTGACTCGGAAGACGCCGAGGACTCAGATGACATGCTGGACTTCCCTGGTTAGCCAAGAACACTTCCTGACACATCAAGATCAATGAACTTCAGTTTGGTTTGAAAGACTCTGTACATTATTTTAACATTTTTATATGGATGCCATCAGGAGCAGAAAAGTTACTGTCTAGGCAATCACGAGGACTAGATGCTGATTCGCCGGCGGGCCGGGACGAGAGCGCCTCACAGGGGAATCCTGCCATGGTGGAGCAGCTTCGCAGAAAAGTGGAGGAACTGACCTCCCAGAATGCCGAGCTGGTTCTCAAAGTGCAGGTGGAGCCTCTTTCCTTTAAACACACAAATGCAGACAAAGCATTAAAATCACAGGCATGCGCACACGCACATAGATGTTTTTGCAGCTTTTTAAAGGTTGTTCAGATGTCCAAGATAAAAACAGACATATATGCACTAACCACATACTGCATCCGACCTGATTCTTAAGTTAAAGCGCCACAGTTAACCTGATGCTGGATATATAGCTCATATATTCACTTTTAATCAGCATATAATGTGGTGAATTGCATAAACCTAGACTTTTTACTTTTTGTATTATTATTATTATTCTCAATGGTGATTCTCAATGTTTTTTTTTTTTACATTGAAAAACATATAAATGCTTAAATACATAATTATTTATAGCATTACGCTAATAAAAATGTGTTTTTTTGCATTGAAGTATAAGTTGGAAATGTGCTTAACTGTAACATAAAAAGGTCACGATGCAAAAAAAAAAAATCTAAAATGTGCCTTATTTTCATATGAATAAAATTAATTGTTTTACTTTAGACAAATTTCTTGACATTCAGATCAAACCAAATAGAGATGGCGTTACATGTTGACATACCTCCCAATTTTAAATCACGGTCTAAAGCTAAAACACAGCTGACATTATAATAGTACTAATCAGATCAGTGTGGTACTGTTGCATATTCTGGTAAAAATAGCACGGCATGTAATGCTAAGTGCTAATATGGCATTCCACTTGCAAAGCCCTTGTGGGAAATGTTTGGGGAACGCTTAGTCGAAATTGTTTGTAGCAAATTGAATACTTATAACTACACCTTTGACATAAGTCAATGTTTACAAGAGTTCTCAAAAACTGGGTTGTATTTCACTGAAGTCCAGGGTTCAACAAACAGATCAAAGAACACTATGAGGGTAATGGCTGAGGCAAACGACATGTGCTGTCTTTAAAGAGAAATCTATAAAACATTTCCATTGCAGATGCTGGAGATGTTTGAGAAGGATGACACGGATATGCAGAGCTCGGGTCCAGATTTTGTTTCCACGGCTCAGTATGAATCTCTGAGGAAAGAGTTTGAGGAACTACAGGAGAAATACGCCAGAACCCAGGCTTCAACTGAAGCGTCAAGCATTGCAGAGGATCCTGGGTAATGTAGTTCAAATGAAATCAGACTAATGTCAAGCTTTTTCTTTATATGATTCAGATTAAATCCGATTCAGGTAATCACTACTACTGTACGTGTCGCCAAGACTTCAGTGAGTTCATTTTCACCCTGGAGATTAGAGGAATTCTCATTTGCAATGTCATTATGTTCCTTTCCTTGTTTCTTTCCTGGATGTTATCCACCTTATTTTTTTAACTTGAATGTGCAAGGCTTTCGTTGTCATTCGCTTCCAGGTATTTTACCTGTCCAAGAACTGGTGCTTGATACTGCAAACTGGTATTTGTTATAATAAGATTTTAAATGCATTATCATAAATCATAAACAAATATATCATAAACACACTGGTTTGTTGTGCAATTAGTTTTAAAGTTTACTGAAATTTGTTATTATTCTAGTTATTTCGACAAGCAAAACAAATTTAAAAATAAAAATTGCTGAATTTAAGTGACCGCTTATTTTACACAATATTTACTCAAAATAAACTAAACTAATTAGATATTGTAATTTAATTATTTTTCCCTTGAAAATGTAAAGTAAGGGATTACTCGTAATTTATCTGTAATTTAATTACAGTTACTTCTGATGTAATTGAGGTAAATACTGTGTATAGATCAATCCGATCTCACAGCGATTCGTATGCATTTTATGAGGCGTCTAAATATTACGTCCGCACTCGTACATATGAAAAATTCGTATGTATGAAAAATATGTATGAAAAAAAGTGTGAAATGTCATGAGATCAGACATAAAACAATAGTGGGTTTAACATCAAAATGTATTGTCTGATGCTAAAAAGTATGTTTTTATAATGTAACCTTCTCCACCTTGGTCAGTTTAAGTATAATTCATGCAATTTTATAGTATTTATTTGAAAGAATTAAATCAGATTCATGTCTATCCTTTTATTATTCAGCTGGTTGAGATTGATATGGGATTTTGAAAGTAATTAGTAATTAAAAGTAATTAAATACGTTTTAGAGAGAGTAATTAGTACAGTAATCTAATTACACTGTTGAAGAGGTAATTAGTAACTAGTAACAGTGTTGTGTATATATATATACTGTATATATATATATATATATGTATGTGTGTGAGTGTAAAGAGAAGATTGACCATTGAAAAGGATGTTGTTGGTAGATATTGGAACTTGCACTAAACTATCTACCACTCATGCACTTATGAATCCTGTCAAGTAATTGAAATTTTTGCTTTTCTTCTCAGATCTGAAGAGAAAGAGGAGAAACAAAACGCAATGAAGGAACAGTTGGCCCGAGCCCAGGCAGAGTTAGAGGAACTCAAAGAACAGATGCTCCTTGGGGTCTACTCCGTGGAGGACGCAGGAGCGAAGACTGAAGCCACCGAGAAAGGGGCAAATTTGGACACCCAGCAGCTGAAAGCAAGGGTGCAGGAACTAGAGGCGGAGCTATCCATAAAAAAGAAAGATGGGGAGAGGCTTGAAGGTGACAATGACACCATCCAACAGCTGAAAGAGAGGGTAAAGGAACTTGAGGCAGATCTGCAGGATAGAAGGAAAGAGGGAGAAGAGGAGACCGAGACAGTTGTGAGCCTCAAAAAGCGGGTGGAAGAGTTGGAAAAAGCCCTGGAGCAAAGCAAAACGGCTGAGCGTAAGGAGGGCGAGGGAGCGCCGGTGAACGGGTTGCAGACACGGGTGGAAGAACTTGAGAGGGAGTTGAAGGATAGCGTCCCTCGAGTTCGGTTTGAGGAGGTTCAGGTCACTTTGGGTCTTCAGCTTAACCAGATAGCTCAAGAACGAGCCGACGTGGCTGCACGACTCAACCAGGCCTTGCTGGAGCTGGAAAGGCTCCGCCCCCCTTCCCACATAGACGAAAATGAGGACGACGAGGACCCGTCTGAGAGCTCAGAGGTTTCCATTGCATCTGGTGAGTGCACCTGTTGTCCCTCCGAGACTCTTGGAAATAGCCATTTGATTCGAGCCTTTAAATATAACTAATTTTCGACCAATCAGAGCACTCCCTGCATCTGTCGCCGGGGGGACGGACCTTGGAGGCGATACAGGAGGAGCTGGAAGTTGCGAGGCAAGAGGCAGCACAAGCTCTGGACAGCCTGTGTGCCGAGAGAGAGAGCCGGGCTCATGACGTACTACAACTGAGAGATGCAATACCACTTGCGAAACACCAGGAGGCGCTGTCCGCAGTAGCCCAGCAGTTAGCTCAAACTGAAAAAGAGCTGCAAGCGGAGAGGGCGCTGCGTGAGCATGCTCAAACCGAGCTCGCCAGGCTGCAAGCCGAGCTGCAGGCGCTGCAAAAAGACTCCGTTAGTAAGGAAGAACATGATAAAGTCAAGGTGAGTTACACAAGATGCTATTTGCATATAATCCGCTCTTTTTAATTATGCACTTCACAATAGAATTGATTCGCTTATGTAAAGTAGATTTCTCAAAGGTACTAAAATTAAAATGGCTATCCATGAATCCAAATATACCTAATTAATAAATATATGAAAAGAGTAGTACTGTTCATATTCGTAAGTAGGTGAAAGTACCTACTACTGGCGAGAGAGTGCGAATCTGATGAACAGATTCTTTCCCATGAGACTTGTGAATGTTAGTGATCATCCAAGATGTCCATGTCTTTCTTTCTTCAGTCGAAACGAAATTAAGGTTTTTGTTGAAAACATTCCAGGATTCTCAGCACTTTAATGGTAACCCAAAAGGTTCAAAGTCCAAAAGTCAGTTTCAGTGCAAACTTTTTAAAGGGCTTTAAACGATTCCAGACGATGAATAAGGGTTTTATCAAGCAAAACGATCGCTCATTAGAAAAAATAAAACAAACAAAGTTTAAGTTTTATAAGCACAAATGCTCGCCTTGCTCTGTTCTGTGATGCGCATTCGTGACATCAAAACGAACGAATCTTTTTCCGACTCAATTTGTTCATTTCGTTCGTTGAATGAACCAAATGACACGAAAAAAGATCCGTTCATTTTGATTTGTACGAATCAAATTTGATTTGAACGAAGATTTATTTTATGCTACAAACCTGGCCAAAGTGACCGGTGACACGTCACAATGCAATACGGGTTGAAAATGTGTTTTCAATTGCTCAAACGCTTGAGTTTTCTTCCGTTTTCCAACTGTACATTGGTTAAGAATGAAACGGCTCAAATATATTCACACCTCTACTAATGAATCCAATGTATGATCTGCACTCGGATTCGCTTCCATGGTGCTGTCAAGTTTCTGAGGTAAACTAAACGCTATTGGCTATTTGAAAAAAGGGAGGAGCCATTAAATGTTCCGCCTTAGCTTCCTGTTTCAGTGGAAATTACTTCAACGCATCATACAAAGCTGCACTTCAGTGAGCCTTTAATGTTTAATAGCACTCGCTTGCAACTTAATGAAGACATAAGGCAGAAGCACATCAAATTTATGAAATAAATACAGTTTTAGTATTCAGTAAGTAATAAATTAGCATTCTTAAATTTAAAAAACAGAGGTTCTGTATTGGCAATATGGTTCATTGATGAACTATTCATTGCACAAAAGGTTCTTTATTGTGGATTATTAAAATGTTCTTCACACTTTAGAAATAAAATGATTATTTTAAGACCTGTTAAAAGGTTCTTTGGGGAACCCAATATTTCTACTTTGGCATCACAGCGAAAAGCCCCTTTTATGAACAAATTTTTAAGAGTAGACTATGGTATACTAAGCTTGATCCTTCCTCACTCCAGGCAGAGCTAGAGCTCTCTCTAGAGGAGAGTCGGAAGATTGCGACAGCAGCGCAGGATTCTCTGAGTGAGAAAGAGACCGAGTTGAAAGAGCTGCGATCTCAGAAAGCTTCAGAACAGGGACTGGTGTCCAAAGAAGACCACGAGGCCCAGAGACTCTCCCTCCAGGCTGAGATCAACACGCTGACAGCCCAGTTAGCTGAGCTAGCACGCAAGCATGAGAAGACCTGCACTGAGGTATGAATGCACTTGTTGTCCTTGATGTTTCCACTCAACCTATTTGCACATATCTTAAAAAAAAGTGTCCCTCCGCAGGTGTTCCAGGTGCAGCGGGATGCTTTATTTAACAAGAGCGAGCGTCAGGTGGCTGAATCTCAGCTGGAGACGGTTAAAAAGCAGCTGGCGGATCTTCAGGCTGAGTCCACCCACATCCAACAGCTGCACCAGGACATCCAGCACTCGCAGGGGCTCGTCAAAGAGAAAGACCGCAAGGTGTGAGGGAGGAAGAGTCTCCATAAGGGAATTGAGTTTTAACGATCATTTATATTCCATTAAAGACAGTCCTACTGTGAGCTACAAAATTAATCGGTGGTATATGCTCTCGTTGAAGCCATCAGCCCACATTAGTTCAACTACTTTTTTTAATAATCCAGTAGAATTCCTGGTGAAAGACTATATTTCCCATGATTCAGCAAAAAACAAACAAAAAACAACTCCACCAATCAGGGAAGCAAATCGCACCAAAAGACCAGACCAACGGCACCAAAATAATACGTTAATATTGAGGAACTTACATTTTAGACACAATACTGTCATTGTCTGTGTGTTTTCATGTTTTATGGGGACTTTACATAGACATAATGATTTTTATACTGTACAGACTGTATATTCTATCCCCTAACCTAAACATCACAGAAAACTTTCTACATTCTTATATTTTCAAAAAAAAACATCATTTAGTCTGATTTATAAGCTGTTTTCCTCATGGGGACCAAAAAATATCCTCATAACGCAGGGTTTACTTGGACCACACACACAAACGCACTGAATAAATCATTGGCATTGAACCGTATTAAACTAATCGGTTAAGTAAATAATTCAATGACTCACTTATAGAGAGTTTCATTCCTGAGTGAATTAGTGTGAATTAATTGAGCAAATCAAGTTTTTGAACTAATACGTTTGTGTAAGATAAATTGATTATATAGCATTTTTTTTGCCCCTATAAGCCTGTTCACACAAAGGACAATAACTATAACTAATAATCATTTTTATTCTATGAGAAATTATCACGATAACGCTGCAGAGGAACGATATTGTTGGAATCACTTTCAGATCGCTTTTCCAGCCAATGAACGATACAAACATTGAAAGCCAATCAGAATCAACCAGACTTTAAAGAGCTTGAGCATTGAAAGCAGCAGACGACATAACTCATTATAATAAACAGAACCTTAATTATCGTGGGTTAGTGTGGACGCTAATATAGTCATGGTTCTTTTGCAGAAAGATTCAAATTTCAAATTTGAGGGCAGTTACTGACTCTTGTATAAAAAAAAAAATCTAATTAAATCCATGTTATGTAAAACATCTGACATTCAGTGACATCTTTTTCTAAACCTGATCCATACTCAGCATTTATTAGAAGAATCAAACCGGCAGGGATCAACAACAGCAAAGGCATAGACAAACCAGATACAGGCAGAGGGTCGAGGCAGGCAGCGAGAATCAGAGTCCAGTGAAAACAGTCCAGGGTCAGGTCAGGCCAGGCAGAAAAGGGTCAGCAACGATAATCAATCCACAGGTCAAAAAATTCAGGACGCAAACAAAGGAGAAAGACGCTCAGAAATGCTACTAACAGTAAAACAAGACTTCACGGTGAGTGAATGAGAACACAAGGTATTTATAGTGTGAACTGAACAAGACAATGAGAACCAGGTGAATGAGATGAGTGCTGATGAGTCTGGGCAGTGAGTTCTGGGAAATGTAGTCTGGTGTGGAGTGCCCTCTGGTGACTCTCAAGGGCACCGTTACAGCATGCATGTTTGTCCAGATGCAAAAACCCATGATATGGAGATTTGATTCTTTCTTTTCCCTCCTTCTTAGATCACAGAGTTGTCTAAGGAGGTGTTTCGTCTGAAAGAGGCTCTAGGGGCTTTGAGTCCCCCACTGGGACGTTCCCAATCTCCACCATCCTCAGGGACACCTGGACAACAGCTGGCACTGCAGAACCGTGTGACCACACTTACACAGCAACTCCAGGTACTGTAAGCGTAACGTGATCCTCCCTTTATCAGTTTTGCGTTTTCTTCCAGGAACGAACACATAACAATATTCCTAATTTACATAATTCCCGCACACGCACGCATACACGCACACAAAAAGTGATGAGGCCTGGTTTAAGTTGCTTAAAGGGTAACTAAACCCCTGGTCAGAGCCTGACTCCACCCACTGGCAATATTTGAAAATGCTGAAAAAGTGGGCTGACCCCAGCGGAGATGCTAAAACACTATCCTGATCGTTTTCAATACTCACAATTCCAATTCCTGACTCGCAACAGTGGTTTTGACGAAACAAGCTGGTTTTTATACTGCCAAGGGCGTAGCTCGCGTGGTGAGCTGAAACCTGCGTACGTCACGAAGTGCCGAACATCCAATAGGAAAATTCAACTGCAGTAGCCACCGTTCAACCTGAAGAGCGCAGCACTGAGACGTTTTTACACCATATATTGTAGAAATAGAATGTCAAAAAAGTTACTCGAATCAATGACTGGTATTAAAAAAAGTTGGTTTAGTGTTTAGTTACTCTTTAAGTTAAAACTTCCGGTTATTGAAAGTGGGTGTGACATTTTCAAAACAAGCTTGAAGTGATTGACCAATCACAACACACTGGTCCAGCCGACCAATCAGAGCACACGGTGGTTTCTGGAAGGTGGGGCTTCATATGGCGCTTTTCCACTGCGTGGTACGGTACGGCTTGCGTTAAATGGTACCTGGTATGTTCCAAAGGTACCGTACCGGTACTAAAATGTGACGTGAAACACTGCAGGTCACTGATTGGTCAGACAGAATCGTCACTACCAGCGTCATTGTATTTGCGACACTAGAAACCAAACACGCTAGATTTAAATAGCTAGTAACAGCCACCGCTCTAGCGACTGCTTTTAAACTAATCCCACCCACTTTAAAGCGGTACTAACTGTAGTGGAAAAGCAACCGAGCTAAAGCTAACCGACCTAACCGTGTCGGGCCGAATCGTTTTACGCAGTGGAAAAGCGAAGCGAGCCGAACCGAAATGTACCGAGCCGTACCAGCAGTGTAAAAGCGCCAATAGAGACAGTAACTGAAAAGAGTGTTACTGACAGACTGGGACGAGAGGTGCTGCAACAATGAAAAATATGTGAAAAATAATGAACATTCAAGCATGAAAAACTATTCGAAAAGACCCAAAAAACGAAATCCAGACTTTGTAGAAGTGAATACAACCAAGTCTTTTCTTTCTTCTTGTGCTCAGGACTGGGAGCGCAAACACAAGGCTGTCGTTTCTATATATCGCTCTCATCTATTAGCTGCTGTACAGGTGAGAATCATAAACCCAACCTTACTTCTACAGGAACATCTGATGTCTTCTATTACTCTCATCTGAGCAACTGTTTTTGACCTTAACAGGGTCGGATGGATGAAGAAGTTCAGGCGCTTTTGCTCCAAATCCTCCGTATGACACAAAAAGGTCAAAATTAGTTGCTTTTTAACTAATAGCTATACATACCCTTGAGCCGAAGCGTATCAGCACTGTGCATCGTCACTGAGAGGCATTGAAACTATAAATGAGAGGATGTAGTTTTGGAACATTTCCTGTATACCTGATGATTTATGAGGGAGAACACTGATAATTTTGTACCACGTTTCAATAAACACTGAGAATCGCTGCTTGTCTTTTTTTGCAACTTTATGAGGATCACGTCTGTTAATACAGGTTTTCCTTTTCAATCAGAAGATTATTTCAAGTAAAAATGTATAATTTGATTATTATCTCTTCATTCAAACCAATATCATTTTTTATCTAACAAAAGGAGATACTTTGCAGAATGTCCGAGCTGCTCTTTTCCTCAACTTAAAAATACATTGAAAGAAATGAATACATTTATTTAGCAAGGATGCATTAAAATAATCAAAAGTGAAAGTTAAGAAATTTATAAATGCTGTTTCAAATAAATGGTGTTCTTTTTAACTTTTGATTCATAGAAATTTCCTCGAAAAAAAAATCTTACCGATCACACACTTCTGAATGGTAGCATCTACGGTGAAAAAAACACATGGATTCCGATTTTCTCAGATCGAATTCAGGCCTCATTCATATATGTGGTAATAAATCGGACATGAATCGGATATGTGCATTTGCATGTGCCATGTAAGCAGACAAATCAGATATTCCCCAGTAAATGCGAGTTGTACGTCATTAAAATAGTGCGCGATTTAAGAAAGGATACACACAGTGGAGCAATAAAAAAGTTGGATATAGTCAGAAAATCGGATTTGGGTATCAAGACATACAGTGTAAATGCAGCCTTAAAGGATGACATTCATTTTTGGGAGTACTGTTCCTTTAAAAATAAACCAAACATTTTCTTATCATTTTCCCTTCCTGTTCAGTTTTATTGAGAATGCTTTTATAGGAACACAGCATAGAGAAACATTATCCTGAGAAAGTAAAGTAAGTGTTTTTTGTTGTTGGCAAGGAGGTCTATTACAAAAGGAGATAGCGAGCCGTTAGCATTCCCATTCATTTCAATGTCAGTTGCCCGGCTGGCACAGGAATCCTGTGTGTTTGAAATGTTTGTGATTTAAGCCTTTTTTTTTTTTTTGCTTACAGCTACTTTTAAATTACTGTCAATGGTGTGAATAGAGCAGCTGGTGCCAACTGAAATATGCTAACTAGCTCAATCTTAGTTCACCCAAAAATGAAAATTCGGTCTGTATTTACTTAAGGGATTGAAACTTGTACCCCGAAAAGTTATTAAAGACATTGTTAAAATAGTCCATGTGACTACAGTGGCTCAATCTTAACTTTATCAAGCGACGAGAATACTTTTTGTGCGCAAAAAAACTAAAATAACGACTTTATTCAACTATTAATTTCCTTCTCTGTGGGCCTCAAGTGAGTTCACTAGTGTAACAGCGTAAGCTTCTGTTGTTGTACGTCACACGCATCACACAAATAACCAGTGTCAGCCAATAGGGAGCCTACGTGTGACGTAGCTCTACGCTATCACACTACGTTAACTGACTAGATGCCTACAGAGAAGGAAATGAATAGTTGAAATAAAGTCGTTATTTTTGATTGTTTTTGCACTCAAAAAGTGTTCTCGTCGTTTGATCGGCGTTCGTAGATCGACTGGTCGAGACTATTTTTCCAAGATGGCTTCTTCCTGTATTCACGAAGTTGACTGTGTGTTTAAAATATCTTCTTATTAAACTGTTTGGACACTGACAAAGTTCTCAATGCTTCGGTTTGAATGTAGGGACCCTTGTTATGCTGTCGTGTTAGTGTGGGGCTATTTTGAGCCTTTTTAGTGGTAATAACAAGCGATTTTTATTTGTCATTACTCTATGCCCTATATACTAGCATTATACTAGCGTTATAGGCTAAACTGTTTTTAGAGATAAAACTATTTACATTCGGCAATCATGAAAACAAATCTCAGATAACGGTTGACTAGGTAACAATGTGTAATTAGACTAAAGGTTAATTTTGCGCCGGAGTTGTCCTTTAAGATTGAGCCACTGAAGTCACTTGGACAATTTTAACAATGTCTTTAATAACTTTTTTGGGCCGGCAAGTTTCAATCCCTCAAGAAGCCTATGGACTAGTATGGAGGAGTGATCCAGCTCTCAGATTTCATCAAAAATATCTTAATTTGTGTTCCGAAGATGAACGAAGGTCTTACGGGGTTGGAACAACATGAGGGCGAGTAAAAACTAACAGAATTTTCATTTTTAGGTGAACTATCCCTTTAAAATCTATTTCTGCTGCATCTGTAAATGGCTGATATAGCAGTGTGCTAGTATGAATTCTGCTTTATAACTGAAACTGAGATGCAAAAAGAAAGTATAAACCATAAATAAGTGGTAAGATGTTTTTGAAATAAAAACTAAATACTTTTAAGGCACTGGAATATTTTCAGATAATGTGGGAAGACGTATGGAAGAAAATGTGGTTCTTGATACATACACTGTAGTGAGCCAAACACTTTTTATATATAACAAGAATATTTGGACATTTATAAAGGCAGGTTGTCGACTACATTTCTCCAGAAAGCAGCTTTTAGGTTGAAATACGACGTTTTTTTTTCTTGACATTACAAAATATGTATAGGAATGTATGGAAAAAAGCTTGTGGATGACTTTTGTGTCAAGATAAACAAACATTTTTTTTAACATGAGGTGCATTCAGTAGTTATTTAGCTAGCGTTAGCAGCTCTGCTCTTTGTGTTATTTAAATACCAAACCCACAATGATGTGAGATGTGGTCAATCAGATGCTCTTCACAACTGAATGCATTGTGGGCATTTGATGATGTGTCTAAACACAAAAAGGAAATGGAATATGCGTAATTGTGAAGTATAATCCATCGTTTAAAAAAAGGGCAATATCACATGAGCGTGACCCAAACGTTTGGTCCTGAGTTCATAAATTAAACATGTGCATTTGATACGACTGCATTAGAGCGACTGAGCTTTACATAACGTCCTTAACAAATACTGCATCCTGAGAGCAAACTGTTGGTAAGCACAACAACACACTGATGTCCAGAGTTTCAGAGGTGACCAGTTACCGAATACATTTAGAAAGGACGACAAACGCTTGCACAGATGAAAAGGAAGGGAATAAGACGGTTGGTCTCGTGTGTTTCTCATAAGTTCACATTTCTGTCAGAACAGTCTGCTGGGAAACTCAATGTTCACAAGCACTTTATTTCCCAACGCCAAACTCTCAGTTGAAGAAGGGGTCGATTTAACAGGGCATGCTGAAAGCTGTTTGCGGTCAGTGCCGAAGGAACAAGGATATCCCACAAGTCCCAGTGGAAGCTCACAGTCTGTGTTTAAGGCAAGTGTGAGGCCTTTAGATTGGCGGCACAGGGGATGGCCTTTAACCCTGAAAAAACAATACAAAATCTGTGAATTACACAACCAAATGCTTTGATCGACTGTAGGAACATGCCGCAAACCTCTCACCATGTATATGGGCTTCAAATGGAGGTCAGTGCTTTCTGCAGACCACCTGCTGGAGGTGTAACTCGCTCTCCGCAGCAACGATTGGCAGCTTGTTTGTCAGGTGGTAGTTGATCAGGTGACTGATGCTCTCAAAAAGCATGTCTTTAGTCCGAACCTAATGGAAATGAACAATTAATACAAAGTTAAATAAAATCATATAAGATGTGGTTTAAAGGGATAGTTCACCCAAAAATGAAAATTGGCCCATGATTTACTCACCCTCAAGTGCATAAGTTGCGCTTAGACTTAAAGGAGTAGTTCACTTTTAAAAATCAAATCATTCATTTTCTTTCTTCAGTCGAAATGAAATTGAGGTTTTTGATGAAAACATTCCAGGATTTTTCTCCATATAATGGACGTCAATGGGAACCAAACGGTTCAAGGTCCAAAAGACAGTTTCAGTGCAAACGGTTCAAAGGGCTTTAAAACGACACCAGGCGATGAATAAGGCTCTTATCAAGCGAAACGATCGCTCATTTAAAAAATAAATAACAAAGTTTAAGTTTTATAATCTCAAACGCTCGCCTTGCTCTGTTCTGTGATGCGCGTTTGTGACTCTCCTGTTCAAACTCGTTTATCAAAATGAACGAATCTTTTTTCAATGAACAAAATGAACGAATTGACTCTGGAAAAGATTTGTTCATTTTGATAAACGAGTACGAACAGGAGAGTCATGAACGCGCATCACAGAACAGAGCAAGGCGAGCATTTGTGCTAATAAAACTTAAACTTTGTTATTTATTTATTAAATGAGTGATCGTTTCGCTTGATAAGAGCCTTATTCATCGTCTGGAATCGTTTAAAGCCCTTTGAACAGTTCAAAAGTCTCATTTGGACTTTGAACCGTTTGGTTCCCATTGAAGTCCATTATATGGAGAAAAATCCTAGAATGTTTTCATCAAAAACCTTAATTTCTTTTCGACTGAAGAAAGAAAGACATGGACATCTTGGATGAGATGGGGGTGAGTAAATCATCAGCAAAAGTTTTTTTAAAAGTGAACTACTCCTTTAAAAGCACTGCCATTATAAAGCTCGGAAGCGAGCTTTATAATAATTAGTTTGAAAGAAGAATGTCATATACTCGTGAGTAAATCATGGGCTAATTTTCATTTTTGGGTGAACTACTGTAAGTGATTTCATAATTCCCAAAAAGCTTGAAGCATCACTCACCACTCCTTCTGGATCCACCAGCAGCAGATGTTTGGGAAGCCCACACTGCATCCCAGTCAGGACATATTGGCCTGGGTTAGTGGCGCTGTCCCGCACCAGGAAATCCCCGTCTCGGCCCAACAGATTCTCTGCGTCCCTGCGGCTCATCCGTCCGTGGTACCACATCTCCCGCCGGAGCTGGTCCTCTGTGGGTGCGACGGGGGCCCGGCGCCGTGGGGGACTCGGCCACTTGTCCTCCAGTACGCAAACTCCACTGGCCTCATGCAGACGCAGGGCATCCTCAAACGGCCCTGTGAGGTCAAGAACAGTACAATTTGTAGGATGAAGTAAGTTGTGTGCATTCTTCTTCTTGAGATGAATCAATTTCAGTCATTTGCAGTGGACTCACTCATATCAAAAATGTCTTTCTTCGGGCTCTCGGGTCTGCGTCCTCTTTGGGCGTCCATTGAAGCCTCCATGTTGTCCAGATTCTGCGTGTTAACGTACAGGTGTTCCTCATAATCGCGGCTGCCCTGAGGATGACCGTCTGCTCGCAGATAACCATCGGAAGTCAAACCTACAGAAAATAAACTCGTTACTAAATAACATCGCCGTTAGAAGGAAAAAAAATTGGAATATCAGACCACTTCCAGCACCTTAAAGGAGTACTTCACCTTAAAAAAAACTTTTGATGATAATTTACTCTCCCCCATGTCATCCAAGATGTCCATGTCATTCTTTCTTCAGTCGAAAAGAAATTAAGGTTTTTGATGAAAACATTCCAGCATTTTTCTCCATATAATAGAAGCCCTTTGAACAGTTTCCACTGAAACTGTCTTTTTGACCTTGAACCGTTTGGTTCCCATTGAAGTTCATTATATGGAGAAAAATGCTGGAATGTTTTCATCAAAAACCTTAATTTCTTTTCGACTGAAGAAAGAATGACACGGACATCTTGGATGACATGGGGGAGAGTAAATTATCACAAAAGTAACAATACTGATAATTGACCACCAGGCGTCTCACTTGAGCTGCTGTTCTCCGTGTCCCAGTGCACTTCATAACACAAGTGGGCGGCAGGGAGGCTGCAAGCATCTCTTTTGGCTGGTGACCCCATCTGAAAGAATCATTTTATATTCTAGAATTATCTTCTTTTTTTATTAGAAATTATAATACATTATGTACATAGTGTATATGTGTCCTCTAATAAAGCGCTATGTTTCTTCTCAAAGTATAAAAAAATAGATTTTTTGTTGTTGTGCAGAAGGTACTTATAGCAAATAGCATTCAAGTAGTTTTAAAAATAATCATCGATAATTGAAGAATTGCTAATGGCAATTCTTGCAGATGGCATTTCATTCTTTTATTTGCCTGACACAGTTAGCTTTATGCTAATACAACTCACGAAGTGAAAGGCCAATTTTAGTCCACAAACCACAAACTTCATGCTGTTCGTAACACATATCAAAGCAGGAATTTAACTAGACAACCATTAATAATAAAGTCAATTGTTTTACCTGAGCGGTTTTGCTCTGTGGTTGTGTGTGGACGTGACCCAGTAGGCCCGCAGGAGGCCTGAGCCTAGAGTCCACCACTCCCCCAACAGGAGGCTCCTTCCCTGGGATGCTGTTGTAGTAATCATGCTCAGACGATTCCTCGTCCTCCCCCCACGCTGACTCCTCTGTTCGTATAGTCCTAAACATCAAATTAAGCTATTTAGCATGTTTGTGCATTAACATATTAGCTATCAGTGAAAAGGTAATTATATATTTAATTCAAACTGAATATATAAATCATAAATATATTTCCATTAGGTACTGAAATGTGCCAATAAAAAAGCTTATTTAGTATCTACTTAGGAGTTTAAAATATAGTAATGGTGCGTTCACGTGCTATGGAAAATATGATATTTTCCACTTGTGAACTGGTATTTACCAGTGTGTTGCGTTCAAGTGTAGTAATGTGATAAAAAGATGGAGATCCACACCTGTTATTTATTTAGCTAAAACTATTTTAGATTGCTTTAGTCATCTGCAAGAAAATGATTTATCAAAACTCTAACGGTAAATAATATGAATGGTACATATTTTTACCATTCACGACTCTTGTGTTGCTTTCCGCCATTTTGAAAAGGTCAAAGGTTATTGCATCTCGGCAACTCGTGCATCAAAATAATCTACGAGTTGCCCAGTGGAAAATACCACATGAGGGGGTGTTTCATGTGCACTTTCCACGTCAGCTTTTGGTATTTACCATAATTACCACAGCACATGAACGCAGCATAATTATAGTCTTATTGTTCTTTTGCCAATTGCCAACCTAACCACAGGCTCTACTCTTCAGCACAATGACCCCAAAAACTTTTAAATTCTAAAATAATAGAACATTAAACACTAACAGATCGCCCCCTATATTAATATTGAGCAAAACTCATTAAATATCGCTTCATTTTAACATTTGCTCTCCTTTCAGAAGTCAGTCAGAAGCAAAGCATGCTGGGAACTAGAAATCTGTTGGAACTTATTCCATGAATGTGTGTGTATATACATTCACATTTATATGGGAACATGTATGTGCAATATTATATGTACAAACTTTGTGAATATTACATGTAATGATATTTTTGTCTTCATTTATAAATACTCATTAAATATATATTTAAAATATTCATTAATATTTAGCCATACATGGTCAATGCATATATTGCAGTATATTGAAAAATATAAGCACTAGTTTTCCATATATGGAAATATACTATGTAATATATCACATCATATTTAGCAGTTCAAGTGAATTCGGAAGTGACTAATGTGCTAATGTAGCTTAGCAACATGCTAACATGCTAACAGCCAGTGTTGTGCAAGTTACTTCCAAACTGTAATACATTAGGTATTACTTGTTACTATTATTTAAAAGTAATTCATTACCTTACAATATTACTGTCCCAGAATTGTAATGCGTTACATTACTCATGTATTACTTTTTAGTTACTTTCACCAAAATAACTAAGTAGAACTTAACTTTTGGGCTGTTACGATATGCAATATGAAACCGAAATCGCGATTCGCCACACGACTCAGATCAACGAACCTACAGAATCGCGACAAACCTCTTCCAACTCCAGCGTTATTCTCCTTACCGTCCATATCCAATGCTGCCTTATCTTTAAATTAGGCTATTAGTATTATTTGAAGTTAACATTATAAAATACTACGTAGACCTACACCACAAAACTAGTTGAGGATAAATTATTTAAAATTGGGGAAGTCCAGCATTATGGACATGATGACATTTGCAGTCAAAACTTGAAATAAAAATTCTCAGAAAATACATGTATTGAAACATATATAGGCTACTTCCTTAAAGGACTCCAGACATTAGACAAATATCAGTCTATGTTTTATTTTTAATATTAGGGAAAAGACACACATTCATGCGTGACAAAAAAATATGAGGCAAAATCGATTTTTTGTAATTCTGTTAATTACACTGCGCAAATCGGATGAGGAAGGGTTGGCTCTCCAGTCTCCATAGAACCTAAAATATTCATTTTATTTTAGTTTTCGTGTTCGCATTTATGAAAATGTTAAATGTTACAGACGCGAAAAAACAATGTTACAGACGCGACCGCTCTGAACTGGCACTAAAAGGCTGCTTTAAAACTTTTGCATAGTCTGTTGCCTTTAAGAAGTAAAAGCAGACAATACACTGTAATACAACTGTAATACAAGCCTCACTGAACATGTAACGAGTAAAATATTACTGAAAATTGATTAGTAATGCCTTACACTACTGCGTTACAGCAAAAAGTAATATGTTACTGTAATGTATTACTTTTGTAATGCGTTACTCCCAACACTGCTAACAGCACACAACAGAGTTGTTTTCTATGTGTGCTGTTATTAAACATGAGTGACATCAGATCCATTTCAGTTACAGTAGTATACTGTCTATATGGAGTAGACTTATAATAAAGACAAGAAAGAGCATTTAACAACAATGATTTATATTTAAACAAATTGAAAGAAATGATCCATTTCTGATGTGAAACTGAGCAGGCTTGTGGTTTCTGAGAGCCCCTTAAATAATTTTAGCTTTAAATAACGGTCTGGATCAAAACGGGATGGCTATATGAAACACAAGCCGTGTGTATCCTGTTTCAATCTTGTGAAAACTCTTCAGAGCTGAAGTTTAACATTGACTGCAGATAAAACGATAGAGGAACTACTGTCATTTTCAAGTTTTGAAGCATCCAAAAGTCCAAACAAGGGAAATTAAATGAATCTCACTTATCCATGGTGGTAATGGCTTTGGGTGGGCTGTGTAGGTACTGTTTGAACTGCAGTTCGAAGGCCTGGCCGATGGTACTGATCACATTCTGGGCAAGACCTTCACCGCACTCCAGGATGTGACACGCTAGAAGTAACATTACGCACATGTGAGAAATCAAGCCAAAATAATCAGAGGCACAAACAAAAGTGAAGGAAAATCAATGGGAAATGGAATTGGGGACATGACGCGAGCTGGGATCAAACCCATTTTTTCCCAAACAAGCACCATAGCTCAATATGCGACAACTGAAGACCATAACTCTAACAAACACATTTTTTGTTTTGGGTGTAATAGGCAAATGCAATAAAATAACATATTTATATATTAGTAAAAATATAATAAAAATACCTCTTTGATTGACAGGGTCTTTGGCCACATAGGCGACGTAATCGGGTGTATCCTGCAACACACAATGAAATCAAGTCATCGTGTCGGAATTACATGTAAAGAGAAATGATATGAGCTTAAACATGTATTTTCGAGGCCTTACCGAATCTCCACCAGAGGCGAAAGATATGGACTGCATGGGGTGATGGGCAATCACCTACATAAAGATGAAAAATTGTGATGTCTGCATCCATGCAAATTGTATTAATAAAAAATGACAATAAAATAAATAAATAAACAATGTCGGGGGAAAGTATGCAAAGCTTAAAGGGGCAATATTTACAGTATTTAAGCTATATAAGAGCCACTCCACATCAGACTATTGTCATTCCCTCACAAACTACATTTCCCATAACTCCCTGCCCTGACTCATCACTCATTATCACATTCACCTGTGTCTCATTATCTTGTTTAGCTCACCCCATATAAGCCTTGTTTTCTCATTCGCTATCTGCAAAGTCGTGTTTAGTGTAACACTGCAATTGCGAGCATTCTCCTGGTTTTGTATCTCCTGTCCTGTTTTCTTGGTTTCCTCTGTTTTTGCCTATGACCCTTTGACCCTGTTGTTGTTTGGACTGATTACCCAGTGTTTTCGACTATGATTGTGGATTACGCTTTCAATAAAACTGCATTTGGATCCTCAACCTTTGCGTCTCGGAGCGGTTCTGGACAGATATAATATATACAGTAATTTAATCAGAGCCCTAAAAAAATGTTTTTTTTTTTTTTTTACGTTTTGTTGAATTAACTAATTTGGTCAGACTTTAACCAACAAATGTATATAACTAGGAACAATTGAAAACCTTAAGCAATTTAATGACATGTTTAATTTCATTTCATTTTAATTTAATCTAATTTAAGCAATTCAGTCAAAACAAAGAAAAGAATAGTATTATTTTACTATAGTACTGCATAGGAACTTGAAATAAATCTGAATTTACATGATTCATCTAAAATAACTGATTCACTAAAATGAATCAAAGTTACACAAGTAAGGAAAGGCAGTTTTAAAATGTTTGTTTATTATATGTGCTTGATCAGCTGCAGTCATGCCACTGAAAAATGTAGTTTTGTAGAGTTACTGTAACTCCTCAACACCGTACAGGAATAATAATGTTGTGATAAATCGGTTGAGGGGTGAGGCTGATGTGAATTAAGGGGTTATCCTGTCTAGAGGGTCGACCTGTCGTGTGGTGGGGACGAGTAGACTCAAGCCATCAATGGAGATGTTGACACCGATGCTCATTCCAGCGAAACGTAGGTTACTCTTCCCCATGATAGACTGGAGGGTTTTGTTGGTGGTCTAAAATGGGCAACAAAACAAGTATTCGGATATCACTGATTCTTCTCAGATTTGTGCTTGATTTAAAAAAAGGGGGCCAAAAATGCAGTTTGCTCTTACTTTCTTCTTCCAGGCAGCTTTTCCTCCGGGTACAACTTCACACAACCTGTTGATGGCCTCCCTGTGTTTACACACACACACAAAGAGTAAGAGCACTATTAGAGGTTTTACCACATCTCATACACAGAAAACCCACAAAAAACATTTCCCTTCTGTTTCAGTGCAACCGCTGTGTGAAAATAAGGCATGTGTCTAAGCCTAAGAATAAAGCTTATTAAAATATTGCAAGTGTATTGTCAGTGTATAAAATAAACAGAGCAAAGTGAAACAATAAATCATGGAGGGCACAAACTAAAATCAAATACAACAAATTAATAAAACAAAACAAAACACACGAGTTAAATCGATAAAGGAAATTATTTCAGCTCAACAATACGAAAACAAACCAAACAATTAAAAAAAATAAAACCAAAATAAACACAATATTGTAAAATTGTTCTCAAATGAGAAAAGACCAAAACTCACAGTAGTGATGGGTGCCTTAAAGGAGTAGTACCCTTTAAACAAAAAAAAAAAAACTTTTGCTGATAATTTACTCACCCCCTTCTCACCCAAGATGTCCATGTCATTCTTTCTTCAGTCGAAAAGAAATTAAGGTTTTTGATGAAAACATTCCAGGATTTTTCTCCATATAATGGACGTCAATGGGAACCAAACGGTTCAAGGTCCAAAAGTCAGTTTCAGTGCAAACTGCAAACTGTTGAAAGGGCTTTAAATGATTCCAGATGATGAATAAGGGTCTTATCAAGCGAAACGATCGCTCATTTAAAAAACAAATAACAAAGTTTAAGTTTTATAAGCTCAAATGGTCGCCTTGTTCTGTTCTGTGTGACTCTTTTGTTCGAACATAAACTTAGTTTTTTTTTTTTTATTGTTTCGCTTGATAAGACCCTTATTCATCATCTGGAATCATTTAAATCGCAGTGAAACTGTCTTTTGGACCTTGAACCATTTGGTTCCCACTGAAGTCCATTATATGGAGAAAAATCCTGGAATGTTTTCATCAAAAACCTTCATTTCTTTTCGACTGAAGAAAGAATGACATGGATATCTTGGATGACATGGGGGTGAGTAAATTATCAGAAAAGTCAAAAGTTTCAAATCAAAAGTTTTTTTTAAAAGTGAACTACTCCTTTAACACGACTAATAAAACAAAAAAAGTGTAATTAGTGAAACAATTTCAGTAGCTGTGAAGAGTTTGGCAGTGGGGCATCATGGGTTGTGAGGTCAACAGCGGACGGAGTGACTTCGAAACACCAGCGTGCTATCAAATAGCCCATTAATAATTTAAAAGTCCCAACTGTCCCAGCAAAGGACTTTTCAGGGATTTTTTTCCCAATAAATGTTATAGGATAAGCATTGGAAAGTGTGATTGCTGTCTTTTGAGTTGCAAGATTATAATAATAATGATTATTCTAATTAATAATGTTCGCCCCTGTGAGTGTTTTGCCTCTTTGTTCTAATGGAAATTGCTTCTAGGCCACACTCCATGACAATGACAAATGAGAGAGCCCACCCACACTCCCTTTTTCCCTAGAGCACCGCAAATCAGCTGATTTACAAGCCGTTCGTATCTGCTGCAAAATAGATTCTGGCTAAATATGCAGCCTGTTCCAAGCATTCCCATTATAACCATTATAATGTCATAACAGACTGCCGCTCTCCACTCAAAACAATCACTCTTCTCCAGTCATCCTTGTTTATCAACTCTACAGTAACTCCACCCCGTGCAATCTGCATCATCTAGGGCCCCAGAAGGCCTCCACAGTCATTAGTTGGAGTCGTTAATAATACATGGCTATATCACTCCGTCTCCATCTCGCCGGTGCTATCTGCACTTTAGTCCACTGTGGGCCATGGGGTTCGGGTTTCTGCTGATCGATGAGCAAGGGCAGGGAGAGGGACTCCTCTGTTGCCCTCGGGAATCTGGAGCTTCGCCCCGTCACCCCCTACAAGAATGCACATGCTTGCACACATAGAAATAAATATACACCTAAGACCTAATGCAAGCGTGCACACTTACGTACGTTCAGACATGATTTGGCACACAAAAGGTGAACCGCAAAGTGATAATATATTGCTTACATGTGAAATATATCACTTAAATATAAATTACGTATTAGTAAAATAAATAAAAATGAGTTAAATCAAGGAAGTTGTTTCTTTTATATATATATATATATATATATATATATATATATATACATATGAAGAGTTCAGATGCAAAAGCCTCTAAATGCCATTTGAAATTTTCTTCTTTAATGATTATTTTTTTATCAAACTTGTATATTTAAGTTCAGTAATTTCACTTAAATAACAATTAATAGGTAATTATCATTGCCATTTAAGTGAAATCACTGAACTTAATTATACAAGCTTGATAAAAATTATCATTCTAGAAGAAAATTTCAAATGGCACTTAGAGGCTTTTGCATCTGAACTCTTCATATATATATATATATATATATATATATATATTAGGGCTGTCAAATGATTAATCGCATCAAAAATAAAAGTTTGTGTTTACATAATATATGTGGGTGCACTCTGTATAATTATCATATATATATAAATACACACACATGCTTGTATATATTTAAGAAATATTTGCATGTATATACTGTAAATAGATTTATATATAATTTCTATATTTATATAAATATAAATATTTTATATATAAATAATATTTTTTTCTTAAATACAGTATACATGCATGTGTGTGTATTTATATATATAATCGTTTGACAACCATAATTTATATATAATATGAATTATATTATATATAAATCTATATACAGTATATACATGAAAGTATTTCTAAAATATATACAAGCATGTGTGTGTGTTTATATAATTATACAGAGTGCACTCACATATACGTATTATGTAAACACAAACTTTTATTTTGGATGTGATTAATCGTGATTAATCGTTTGACAGCCCTAATATAAATATAAATATTTTATATATAAATAATATTTTTCTTAAATATACATGCATGGGTTTGTATTTATATTTATATACAAAAAATTATACACAGTGCACCCACATATATTATGTAAACACAAACTTTTATTTTGGATGCGATTAATTGCGATTAATCGTTTGACAGCCCTAATATATATATATATATATATATATAGTAAATGCACCAAACTACACTACACTAAGCATGGAGAGTGAGGTTATGATTTGAAACATGAGAAATGTCCAAAATAAAAAGATGGATAAAATAATACAAAAACTAAACTAAACAAAACATGGATGGTGTAATCTCAAATATAGAAATAAAACAATAATCAATAATAATAATAAAATAAATACAACATTATTAGTTAAATCAATCAAGGAAATTGTTTTGACAAAACATAACAAAGCAACACATGGAAAGTAAAGTATTTTTAATTAAAACAAATGAGAGGGGAAAAAAAATGCAACACATATAAAACATATAATAAAAAATAATAACATAGCAAAACAAAACAAAATCATGGAGGGTGAGGTGAGGTATTTGTGTACAAATGTTTGTGCTTAAAAAAGATCTAGGTTCGGAAACATCCAAATAAAACACACTTTACCTGGTGACGTGTGTCCTTGTGCTGAAGTCCAAAGATCTCATCGATTTTAGAACCTCAATGCACCCCATGTACTGCAAAAAATAAAAATGAGAGCACAAAATTACACACATTACTTTCATTATACTTAATTAGTTTTAATTTCCCAGAGGTCATAATTGCTTCATGGAAATATGTATCTATATGATGTAGTCCATCTCTCTCTCTCACACACACACACAAACACACACAAGGATGGTTTAACTGCACAATAATTGCAGCAGGGTGCATATGCGTCTTTAGCCTAACGCCGCATAATCACAGATAAATACTAAACGTATAATTGCAGAAAGACAGCTTGTTCTCGGCGGTTCTGATAAAGACGACATAATAGCTGTGCTGGGGAAGGTAATTACCGCGAAGTGTGAGGAGATTGACGGCAATAACCACATCATGACCGGTGGGGGTGGACTGGATAAGAGGTATTACTGCAGTCTGGCCCTTCTGGGACGTGGAAAGTGCTTGGATGAAGGTGTAGGGGAATATCTGTTTGGCAGTTATTCACTAATGCGTTCAAAAGGGTCACAGGAACACGTCGCAAGATTGCACCCACCCCCACCCACACTGACAACGCGACATATGTCTGAATAAAGGAGTTTGTGGTTACGGATGATTGTAGAAAGTAATCAGATCATTTTTGTTGTCTGAGGCACCTCGACCCAGAGCACAGGTCATGGTCTATGTTTGAGTCAAAGTGGTTTCCCTAGATATGACAGTTAGAAACTTAAAATGGAGGAAATCTCCAGCTTAAAGGGACAGTTCACCCAATCAAGAGAAGTCTGTCATTATTTACTCACCCTTATGAACCAAACAACACTGGACCCCACTGATGTCCAGTTTATGGATGAAAAAAGTCATGCAGGCTTGGAACAACATGAGGTGTGTAAATAATGACAGCATTTTCATATTTGGGTGAAGTATATCTTTAAGACAATAGTTTTTTGATGTTTGCTTCTTCAACAAATACTGTACAAGTGTGCATTGGGGAAGTCCCGAAGAACTGATTATGACCTTAAAAATTTTCTCTATGAACATTGCATTCATGTTTTCTGCAATCACTACTTTTCTCTTAAAGGGAGAGTACACACAAAACTGAAAAAAATCTCAGATGTACTCACCCTCATGTCGTTCTAAACCTGTATGACTGTCTTACTTCTGTGGAACACATATAATGATAATATAATGAAAGTCAGTGGGGTCCAAAACAACACTGATCATCCACAAATGAAAGACAGTCAAGAGTTGGAGGCAGAGGAAATTAGATTGGGTGTACTGTCCCTTTAAGTTTTTTTTTTGTTTGTTTGTTTTTTTTGTGTGTTTTTTTTTAAAGAGCATGTCTTGACACCGGCTCATTTATATCTAAGCAAGCAATTGCATACTTCTTAACTACGTTAGTCAGCAGCTGGAAGTATTCAATCAGTGTAATGAATCATCTTCCTTTTCTTTTACAGCATCTCTTTTGCTTCCTCTCTCTCTCTCAAAGCCCTCATTGTCGGCCAACATGCGGTGTGATAAATGAATACACTCCATACAGCAAAATCTGCAATTATATATATAAATATACACATACATGTCTAATTAGAGGCAGAACATCATTCAGTGATGTCACATGCATTGTAGCTGGTGTTTCAGCAGTGAAGGTACTAGACATTTTTTGATCTTGTCCTATTTAATTTCATGGGAACAAATTATAGACTACTGTTTTGAGGATAGCAAACTGCAGATTTTGCTGTAGGAGAGCGTTACTTTAGGGAAGCAAGATATATATATATATACACACACACTGTTATTTATAACAGAGGGGGGTTGCCTAGAAAATGTTTGCACTATGAAAATGGCCAGTGAGGTTTATACTTCCTGTATATGAGGTGAAGAGTAATAAAGATGTGTGCTTCTTTTAAATTTCTATTCCTTGAAGTCTTTTGTTCTTAGAAATGTTGTCATCTAGGAATAAGACAAACTAGTCTAAGTTTAAAACAACTTCCTCTTCACCCACGGAAATGCAGATTATAATAAAAAAAGAAATGACATGCTTTTGCGTAGCATATGTTTTAGCACAGTTGTAGCCAAACTAAAATCCCTTTATTTATGGTATACCAACATGCCATAGTGTTATTTGGCTAACTGCCCCCCTCCATGCCTGTTTCCTCTGCTACACATGTGATACAAATGACTGTGATTAAACGTAATTGAATAAACGAATGAATGGTGCCTGTGTAATGCAATTAAGGAGCGTGCGCAGGCCCAGTCTGAGTTCTTGGAGAGAGGGCCGTGTGGTTGATGAGTGCAGGGCCGGAGGGGTGAGAAACTGGGTTGAGAGAGGATCACTGTCATTGACGTCAAATAGTCTGCCAACATTTATAACCCTTGATTGACTAAGATGCAGCCCAGAGCTGAAGATATTGACTTATATCCACAGCATCTCTTATTGGTGAGCCTACACCGTTTCACAGACAGATAAATTGTCTACTTCAACATTACCAACTAAGTAAACAATAAATCAAATACGTTTGCAATGTTTATTGAACGTGAGCTTAAAGATCTCGAATTTGCTAATGCTAGGCTAATTCCATTATTATTCCCAAGAGAAAACGCATGCACATAAACCCGTATTGATCCCAAAATGGACATTTGGGAATTGCTGAAATCAAATATACATTCTGAATATAAAAACTCATCGTGAGTCGTAAACAATAAGCCACCCTCCACCTCCCTTCAGTTCTAGTTTAGTTGTTTACATCTGCAGTTTGTTTATCCACGCCTCCCCCTTGCTCTGACGCAGTACCACACAAAGCAATATATCTGGATTAAATTATATATTCCTCCTTCCTCCTCAGGCAACTGCACCCTGACATAACCGATACACCGCAGTGAACAGAACCCCATTGTTCTCATATCATAAGCAGTTTTGCCTAACCTCAGCTTTTGAAAGGACAAGATGTTGCAGTTGTTTGTAAGCTGCAAGGGGAGTCAAATCTCTCTCCGCGTCTTCAGAGCTGCATTAGATGGTGCAATGAATGTAAATGAACGATTACTGATAACACCACAAAGCAGACCTGCAAAATAACAGATTGAGATTTCAAGATGATAAGCAGGGGACTCACCCTGACAATGTACGATGCTCCTGTGCTGCTGATCTTTACGTCTGGGTGCAACCAACCCTGCGAGGGCTTATTGATGAAGCTGCCCTTCTGGGTAAAGTTATCTCCCAGCCATATTCCCTCCACCCTGTTCCTCCGGTTCATCCCGGTCCTGAAGCTCCCAGATCCACCCGGACTCCCCTCGGTGGCCCCTGCACTGGACTCTCTTGGACTTGCCCTCTGCCTCCTGGCGGCCTGTAGGGAACAGGGACCCATACAAACAGGGTCACAAGAGTTGAACACAGCTGCAAGACTTGCCACAGGACCACTGGGGGCGGTCGCCCCACCAAAAGCCGTAGCAGGGGAACTATCGGTTGGAGGCGCCCTGCTGGATTCCTTGCCGGAATTGGAGCCGGAGCTGCTATTGGACGGGCTACGGCTGAGCAACGAGTTGGAAAACTTCCATTGGGGCATCTTGGGAATGAGCATGCAGAAGGTGGTGGTCCCGTCCTGCTCGGCGTCCAGCCCGGGTGAGTCGGCCAGAACTTGGGCCGAAGGCGGAGGAAGGGCAGCGGTCTCCAGGGGCGGCAGCTCCAAGCCAGGCGCGGACGAGGAGGCCACCGACGTGGCCACCATCTTCCCGCTCATGGCTAGGCTCTGCATCAGGTCTTCGGAGGAGGTCACAGAGTCGTTCCGGAAGCGGCCATACTTGGGCTTAAGTAGCATGCCCGGAGGAGCGGTCCAGAGCGGAGAGGACAGTGGGGGGAAGAGGGAGGGGAAGGGGGGATGGCAAGGGAAAGGGAAAAGGAAAGATGGAAGAAAAGGAGAAATCCACAAGGTTCTGTGTGGACTGTGGACTCAGTCTAGCCCTGCGTCCTCTCTCTCTCTCTCTCTCTGCTTTCTGACAGTTTCTCTGTCCCTTACTGTGGCTTGCTTAATCCCTCCCTCTCTTCTTCATTCCCTCTCTCTCTCTCTCTCTCAGCCCAGCTTGCCCCCACTCTCTTGATGATGTCATAGTGTTATGGTCTGTCTATTAGCCCTGCCCAACCCAGACAACATTAGCTAATACACATCTGCCTGAGCACCTCCTTACAGCATCTTGCGCTTACGTGTACAAAGCCATTCAGTCCTGCAGCATTAGCTAAAGGTGATATGTGCTGTTTTGAATGCTACAATACTTTCCCCTATCCCTTTGAAAGATGTAAATACTGTGGCGCTATTAAAAGATCACCTTTTTTTTGAGCATCCCAACAACTAGCCCCACTCAACAGCACTGACGTGAGTTCCGCCGAGAGATAACAGTTGTTTATCCAGTTTTATTTGGTGATGATAGTAGTGCATACATTACTGACTCATTGGACTCGTTTCATTGGATCAAGGTTAGCATATGACAGTTAGCCCCTGCTGGTGAATATTGTAACTACACCATCTGGCAGCAAAAACTTTTTTCACCATATCTAGTTATCGATAATAATTTGTTATAGTAGATGTTTTACCAGTACCTAATTTTCACCTACAAATGTTAGTTTTTCTTCAGGGAATGTCAGTGGAGTCCAATGTTGTTTGGGCCCCAACGCTTTTAAAAAAAAAACGTATTTTGTGTTCCAGAGAAGAAACTTAAGGGTTAGTAAATGAAGATGAAAATTGATCATCTTTTTCAGTTGAACTACCTCTTAAACCATGGAATTGACTTATATTTTTACTCATCTGCTGCCTTTAACAGTATATTACAGATTAGGATAGTCACTCACTTGTAAAAGGCTTGGGACTTTACCAGTTAAAGACATACTCCACTTTTTTTTTTGGAAATAGGCTCATTTTACAACTCCCCCAGAGTTAAACAGTTGAGTTGTACCGTTTTCGAATCCATGCAGCCGCTTTTTAATATTTAGAAGAATATTAGTAACCAGACAGTTTCTGGTCTTACTGACTTCCATAGTATATTTGTTTTACCTACTATGGAAGTCAATGAGACCAGAAACTGCCTGGTTACTGATATTCTTCTAAATATCAGAAAATCAGCTGAATGCATTTGAAAATGGTAAAACTCAACTGGGGGAGTTGTAAAATGAGCCTATTTCCAAAAAAAAAGTGGAGTATCCCTTTAAGCAATTACAATTGAGATGAACTGGAATGATAGTGGTAGCTTTCTTTAAGATTTATGCAAATTAACAATTAGAGTAAAACACCAAGGCCAACAGTATAATATCTAAGTATCTTATTACACAGTGCACATGTACGAGTACTCAAAAAGATATCAAGGCATCTTTTACATATAGAATAAAATAGAATACCTCACAACAGCATTACTTGCTTCTCCATCCAAACTGTGATCTTCATATTGCTGCACTATGGATAATATAACGATTGTTGAGACTTTCTCTGCTCTTCTCTTGCTGTCGAAGTCACGAAAACATCTGAGTTGTCACATTTACAGGACTTGCGCAAGACGTGGTGCCTCTTCCCTCTGCTCTGACGTCACTTTTTTCACAACTGCCCAAAAAGTAAACGCAAAGACTCCACAAGGCCAAATAAACAGGAAGCACTTAAAATACTCGATGTTCCGTTAACGTTGCCTATGTGTGCAGACTATTTTGGTGGAAACCTACGTTTTGTGGTGTTGACAAAGCCTCGTGCTTGCTTCATGACTCACAAATGACTTTTTTAATTTTTCAAAATCAACAGCTCTTGGGTAATCTCTCCAAGGTGTTGCGGAGAGATTTTGTTGTTTTTCCATTTGTCACATGCATTACGCGCCTGGCTGGGGTAATTTTGGCTTCAAGAATGGGGTCATCGGGACCATTTGCAATTAGTGAGAGTGCACGTGCAGGGTCACAGTCTGGATCAATATCTTTGCTAAAAGCAAAACCACAAAAGAGTGCATAAAAGCGGGAAAATGAGAAAACAAGGCTACATCACACATTCAATCGGACCCATCCTTCATATTTACCCTCATGTCACCATTCCCTTAATTAAGTAAATTATCGTGAATTGTTGCACTAAATCAACAATGCACCGAGGGCTACTGTGTGATCTCAGACTGCAAGATGTCCAATGTTGTTTGGGCCCCAACACTTTACAAAAAATCTTATTTTGTGCTCCAGAGAAGAAGGGTTAGTAAATGAAGATGAAAATTGATCATCTTTTTCAGTTGAATTACCTCTTAAACCATGAAATTGACTTATATTTTTACTCATCTGCTGCCTTTTACAGAATGTTACAGATTAGGATAGTCACTCACTTGTAAAAGGCTTGAGACTTTGCTTTTTTTTTTTATATGTGGGATCATAAAAATAATTTTGACATAACGGACATTTACATATATTCAACCAGAGAAAAATTAAAATTGAATTTATACATAATATTATCCCATTGAAAAGTTTACATGCCCTAGGTTTTTAATATTGTGCGTTGCCGCTTCAACCATTCAGAGTTGAAATCAACAAATTATTTTATATAATTTTTTACAATTTCTTTTTAAATTTGATCTCTTATTTAAAAAAACGCCCTTCTGAACGATTTTTTTTGGTAAATGCATGTAAAAAGTGGGATTTGTAAACTTGTGAGAGGAACTGTACATTAATATGGTACTAAACACATTTGACACAAAACTTTTAGGGATTTCCACTTATTTTCTCTGGTCCTGAAAAACCCAGCACTAGAACATGTTTGACCGCTGTACTTACAAACAAGGTAATTTTACCCAAATGTTAAAGCTACACTGTGTGGTTTTTACCCCCATCTAGTGGTGAAAATGTATATGACCATCCAGCGAATATTAGTTTCTGTTCTTCTCAGTTATAACTTCTACGGTGGCCAATGTAGTCCAAAATTAACATGGCTCCCGGTTCGACCTCGTCCATGAGTGTTAACTCAAACGTAAACGTGAAAGGCGAAACTTGAATTAATGGGTATGTCCCTCTTTGGCTAATGTATTTTCAAGATGGAGGGGAAACATGGCTACCGACATTAGAACCCCTTACCCGTATGTATTTTCATTTTTTTTTCATTTACATTTCATATTATACACTCACGAGAATACTTATGAAGTAAATATACATTAATGAGCACATATTTTTGAAAGAACTAAGTGTTTTTAGCTAAGAATAAACTAAAAGAGTTACACAGTGTAGCTTTAAGACAAAGATAATCATTGATTACAGCAGTTTTCACTATATGTGACGACATAAATCATGAATGTAGTGGGAAAAAAACTGTATGTTACATTATTTTGTGCCAACGTGGAAAATCAAGTACTACTTTTAAATCTGATAAAAGATATTCCAACTGAGTAAAAGTCACATGTACATAAATAGATCAATGCCAGACAGCAGGTGACATGCACCACGAGTTCATTAACGTTTTATCATGACATTAAACATCAAATTGTGGTCAATGTGGGTGAATGTGCCATTTTAATATCTGTATTCTTTAAAAAATACTATCAAATGAAAATACATCCTCCACATGGCAGGTATTTACCACATCCTCTTTAAGTATTTGTAGCAATGCACCACAAAATGCTATTACTAAATATATTCATAGAGAAAGATTAAATATATACATGAAACACAATCATACAGTAACTCACCAAATCTAGTGCTGCTGTAGGTTGCAACGCACACAAGCATCAAAACACATGCAAACGTATGTGTTTGAATGGAGAGGAAGGGTAACAGCACATTAGAGTCGACAGATGTGAAGTTTGAGCCCGAAGGGTGAGAGAAACCACTCAAACCAACACAGGCTAGAACCATCTGTCCTTGTTCAGGAACCCACAGCATCACAAAAACACACCTCCTGCAATGGCATGCCCAATCATGTTACTGATGTATGCACTTTAACACAAGTGTCAATATTTGTTAAGTTGAAAAATGCTTAAACAACTTAACTTACTAATGGTAGATGCTGCTAAGAGTTGTCGAAAGGTGGCACCTCAGTGAAAAAAAAAAGCATATTTAAATTTGTATCGGTAATATATGCACAAAAGCATTCCTCATTCGAATTCAAAAGTTATTACACGTTACTTGTAAAGCGGAAACTGTGTAATTCATTAACAAAAGAGTCACTGAGGTTAACCTTTAGTTAAAAGTTCTAGCAAGCTTGAGTCGTTTTCTAAAACAACAGAGTACAGCATAAAAAGTGTGTTCTACACAGCATGGCATCCAAAATACACTATGTATATTACTGCACACACAAAGAGCAAATCATTTGTCATTTAAACTGATGACTAATGCATTGAGGAGTGAAAAACAAACAATAAAGAGACTTTCTGATGCCTTCTTCGCTTGGCTGTATACTTCATTGTGTACTGAAACGATATGCGCTTGTTAAAAAGGTCACAGGAACACTGTGGTCAAATCAGCAGCCCTGACATTAAGTTAAAGCATCTGAAAAAAAGAGACGACAACAAACTAAAGAAGAAAAAATGGAGCAAACCTCGGGCACCTCAAACAATTCGATCTAAAATGTGTCCTTTTTTGTATTTTCAAATGTTCAAAAAGAGGAACCATTATCTAAGAACAAAGCTTGATACATTGTTAAGACATTCTTTGATTTTGTAAAATAACTAGGCTACTTGTTGGAAAAATGCGATGTTTGTATTTTTGTTAAAGCACTTCTTTTATTCAGAAGTTGCTTATACTTTTAGTTATGTGTTACCAATCTAATTCCTGTGGGTGTTTTGCTCTTTGTAAACTGTATTTGTTTGTGGATAGTTAAGTCGCACCATATCTTTCAAGCATCGTTCCGTATCAGATTTGGTATAAGAGTTACCGGTAGCTACACCAAGCTATCACACTTGTCTGATTTTAACAGATATAGGCCTGCATGATTTCACAGTGGTTGCACTTACAGGCCTTAGTTAACTTTTGCAACATTACTGGTGCAGCCATCTTCAGACAAAACAATGGCTCTGATATATTTTGAGAAATGTCAGTGCAAGTTAAAACAGCTCAAACAGTCTTGTGGCTGTACTCGAAACAGTGTGTATTGTAGTTTGTTCCTCCATTGACCTCCATTGTAAACACAAGATTTTTTGAGGGATGGGCGAAATTACTCTCTGTAGAAAATTGTATTGAAATGTAAATTCAAAATGCATTGCTTTACAATATATTAGAAAAATTGTGTGTAATAATTTTCTTTAAAACATACAGGGTAATAGAGAACTTTAGGAGGAGACTATCATTTCTCATTTGCGTTTGATCATCTGACAAGACAAATGTCAAAAGTGCTGTCAAAAACTTTTTGGCGTAAAGAGAAGGTTAACACGGATTACCACTGTCAAATCATATCATATAAGGTCATCAAAGTAAATTACTGTGTAGTAAGTCTACATAAACAGCATACTACATACACACCATTGGGTTTCACACTTCTGTAGCTATCACACGCGCCTGGAAACGACTACCGAGTAAACAAAAAAGGCCTACAAAACATTTTCTTGTATAGAAGATCTCAAGAGATGCTTTCAGACAAAACAAAAGAAGAATAAAACAGGCACTGACTAAATAAATCAGTTTGAGTGTTTTGCACACTTTACCAGACCTGAAACAGGTCTTTCTACTTCACGCGTGCACGTCAGTGAATCAAACGCAGGCGCGCGCTGAGGGGGCGGGGCCTAAACGGCGAGTGACTCCGTCAACCTATCAGAGGCGCGCGAGGGACCGTTTGAGTTCAAACCTGAAGCGGCGCTCTTCTTTACAGGAAAACATTGACGCTCTGTGACGACCGTCCGCGAGTTTTTCCGGCATTTCGCATTGGATTTTGTCTGAAATTAACATTTACCCAAAATGTCTTCTACGAAAAAGCAGATTTACTATTCCGACAAGTATTCCGACGAGGAATACGAGTACAGGTGAGGAATTTCACTCGTTTTTTCACTTAGTTGTTCGCTTCAGTTTCGTGGTGACGTGATAACTTGCTTCATGATGGCTGTTATTATGTCATTTGGCTGTTTCACATTAAAACATCCGCAAATGATTGAAAACTGTTTGTTTAAAACGTATTTTCCAGGTTCTGTCGTCATTGCTGAGTTATATTGCGTGAAAAACTTTTAAAAAAGCTATTTAGTCATACTCAAAATATGTAGGTCAAAATGACATAACGTTACCACTGTCCCTCTCCTTCCATATAGGCATGTTATGCTTCCCAAGCAGCTTTCCAAGCTGGTGCCGTCCTCCCACTTAATGTCAGAGGAGGAATGGAGAGGACTGGGAGTCCAGCAAAGTCAGGGCTGGATCCATTACATGATCCATAAACCAGGTCAGTACTACTTACCTTACTTTGACAGCTTAATTACTGTCTAGGTTGGCAGTTCTCATATTTTGAGACACATTTTACTAGGTGTTGTGTGTGAAATTGACCCAACTAGTGTCAGCATCAGCAAACGCTGCCTATATTCTCCAAAAACCATGATTCCACTCTTTTTATACAGAGCCCCACATTCTGCTATTCCGAAGACCGCTTCCCAAGGAATGAAATTTCAAGACTATCATCGGAAGTTAAACTACATGGTTGGATCTGACCATAAGTGCATTTCTTTCCAAAAGTTGTGATTTGTATATAAGTTTTATTATTTGCAGATCAGTGGTAATGAAATGTTACTCCTCCTCCCCCTTTCATTCGGAGAACCGATGGCAGCAGGGAGCCCCGGGGGAATTGGCTGCCTCCTCCAAAGTGTTTTATTTAGATCTACACACTGAAGTCATGTAAAATAAGTTGGATGGTGTTTCAGGTCAAGTAATCGCCCCAGTCGTGATTCGTGAATAGAAGGACTAGTTTTTGTTGTACACTACTATGCTTTTTGTTGCTGAACTGCTTTTGTTAACATCTCCATCTTGTATTTTGAGCAGTCAACATGTGTTTGTTCAATTGTTGTTGACAAATCAATAAATTTTATTTTTATTAGCTCACTTGCATCCTCATTTGTAATCAGTGTTACGTGACATTAAATAATGACATAATCAATATTTGGTCATTTAAAGCGACAGCGGATACTATAGAAAATGGTTTTTTTTTAAATAGACATCACACTATACATAAAAATCTAGCTGGTAATATACATGCTGGTATATATATATATACACACACAAAATTTAATATATATATCCAAGAACGAAAAATATCAGCAATTTTATTTAGGCCTAGTGTGTGGAAAAGCAACCAGGAACATCTTGGAAATTAATTGGTCAATATTTCCAACATCAGAGTTCACTGTATGAAAGATATCAAACATATTTAAGAATCTGATGAAATTTTGATGAAAATCCAGGAAAAGTAGTAATTACATATACAGCCTTCAAAATAGACGATTTGTGAAGTCGACGTCACAGTTGCATCACTACAGTTGCGCATTTGTTGTGGTAGCAGAAAAACTGGTAACAAGGAAGAAAATGGACAAGATCCATGCAATAAAGGATTGCCAAAATTTATGTTTTGCATTTTTGAAGCTGTTTATAGTTGCAAGCCATTGAAGGGACAGACTGAACTGATGAAACCTGTGATGATTAGCCTACTATCAAAGCATGAATTTGATGTTTTCTTCTCAGAGCTGAGATATAAACTTGGAATTACAAGTCATAATTGTGGGATATAAACTCATATTACATTTTTAATATTTTCATTCCGTGGCTTGCTTCCACAGTTCCTGAAGCTTCCTGTTCTGCAAAATAAGGGATAGCTGCTGGACTGGTCGGAGTAATGGGCGTGCCGAAAAGTGAATTGCAACAACCGAAACTTAACCCTAACCCACCCGAAACCCTGTCAGACAGCTTTCGCAACAACGAAAAATAACTTTCTCCACGCCCATTACTCCATCCAGCAGAGACCCCGGCCCTCACTTGCTTTCTGCCACCAGGTAGGCTCCGCCCACAAAACACTAAAATGGTCTATGCTACTAATCTACCACTAAAGGGGTCACAAACTCTGAGTGCCTGACCCCTAAAGAGAAAGCAGGAGGTCTGGGCTTGTGCACGGTCACTTTCTCTGGGTTATGACTTCCAGGACCTGGTACAAGTGTGGACTCCCTCGCAGCAGCGTGTCTGCCCAACATAGAGAACGCAGGCTGCCTCGGGAGGTAGACACTGGGATCTGTGCGGTTATATCGACCAGGACCTGGAGTCTTGGATAAGTCCTCGGCCGGACCTCCAGACGTGCATCTCCCGGAGATGGTGTAACTGGCACTGGATGTTTTGGTCAGGATGTGGGAGCCCATGAGAGAAGGGAGGGTGTATCTGTTGGGGGCCGGCACGGTGTCCACGGTGCGATACTGAGTGCGGCAGCCCATGGTGTGGGACGGCGGTTTGCGATGAGTGCTGCACAGAGGGGCTTTCTCAGGGCTGTATGCTCCTGGTCCAGGGGTGGAGAAGGTTCCTGCTGCAATTGTCAGATACAACAAGGGTAACTGTCAAACTCAGTCCATTCCAGCTGGTGTGTTTCCTGGTGGTTTTGACATAGGTGGACCAGTAAATCACTAACCGTTTCAACAAATGACACACTGATTGAATAACCGACTTACCTCGATTTTCCATCCTGCCATGTATGGAATAGGCGGGAGTGCCGTCCCGTCCAAAGCGAGTCAGTTTGGCATCAATATGATATTTAGGCCCTGGACTACAGTCAATGCTATGCACTGTATGACCAAAGCAGAATAAACAGCATTACATCACTTAGGAAAGAAACTGTCACACTTAACATCACAGTATTCGTGTTGCTATACTTGTGCGTACAAGAACTACTTGTATTTACAATTATTTTGTTAAATATGCTACATGTGGGCTGCAAAACCCTTTTGATTTTATCACATGCAATAAAATGTAGTAGAATTTTATTCTAATGCCAAAAAATATGAAATCTAAAATGTGACAAAATATCACAGATCCAAGATGCGCAACATACTGTAACGCGAAAATAATAACAAAGTTAAGAGGTGGCGAAAGTGAATAAGAAAAAATATAAAAAGTGGTGCACCATCTGAGGTATTTCAATTCTTAAAGTATATAAAATACTTGGGGTAAAATGGCTTTCACTAACTTCCTTTGTGATATGATTTTACATGAAAATCATAAACATAATTTACGATAGGCCTATACGTGTGTGTTTGCTCACTGATCACTCTGAAATAAAAGGGAAAATGATAATATTTTGAATCCAATCTGAAGCAAGAAAAATTGGCTTGAGGTAAAATGTAGCAGCACCATACCCTATCCTTTAAAATAATAATGTGAAATAAAATTATATGAATAAAATAAATTAGCTGCTGGAAATTTACAGCAGCTGTCTCCCTCTTGTGGTGGCATTAGCAAAATACAGGATTATGAACTAAATGATTTAAAGGGATAGTTCACTTTGAAATTAATTTTTGATATGTTTTAGCTTACCTCAAAAGGGCATCCAAGATGTAGGTGTGTTTGTTTCAGCAGTATTTTCAGTTTTGATATTTTTAGGTCAAACCGTTCATGTCTATCAGTCATATAATGGAGGTCTATGGTCACCACCTCAAAGAGCATGCACAGAGAAGTCCAAATTAAACATGATTTAATGACTCGTAAATTTAAGTACACATTGATGGCCTAAGACACGAAACGAGCGGTTTGTGTGAGAAAACGAACAGCATTTATATCGTTTTTACCTCTTGTAACCACAGATTTTCAATTTTTGGTTGAACTATCCCTAAGTAAAAATGTTAACATGGATGATTTGCAAATGTTCCTCATGTAAAAATCAGCAAACAGTTTTTTTTTTTTTTGGAAAAATAGGGTTCCAACTTCCATTAATATTTGCATTATTCTCAGATTTATTTCACTGCACATTATTTCACCGGCTAAGTCATTACAAACTCACTGTTGTTACTCATCCTGCCATGGAAGGAGTAAGCAGGACTCGTTGACTTGGTAAAATCGTGGCCTACAAAGCCGATAGCCGGTGGAAGGATGTATCGACCAGGCCCTGGCCCTGTGACAAGATTGGAAAACACATTTCATGTGTGCACAACATATGCACAGCCCTACTTGTGCAAGCACTTAGAAACATTTAGTGATGCATTTTTTGGCAGGCAGTTGTGACAGAATCTGTTAGGGAGATTCACACCCTTTAGATGCAGCCCAGCAGGAATATGAGCTCATCGCAGTGGCGTGATGGTTTTTCCTGGAGTGGAAGACAGACAATGCCTTTGGCTATATCTTCTCTGATACTACCAGGGGAATGCCATGACATCAGCCCACAAATGTTTGTGTGCATGAGAAGGGCTACTGGAAGCACAGAACATTCTTTCACATTTACTTCAGCATGTTTTGTCAGGCCTGGGCAGTTATTGTAACCTCCCTGAAAGTGTTAAAAAGTAACTCCTCTCCATTTAAATGAGAATTTGTAGTAGTAGTAGTAAAATCTTTATTTGTCCCTTACAGGGCAATTTAAGTAGCTTCAACCTCACAAAAACAGCAAAACATCAGACATTACACACACCAGAAAAAACAAAAAAAACAACAAAAAACAAAAACAAAAAACACACAAAACCCCGGGCATTTATAAATGGTAGAAAGAAAGAAAAAAAGGTCAATTAGCAGCTCAATTTTCCCTAAGTAGCTTTACAAACAATGCAACAGTGAGAAGAACCCTTAGGTCAACCAAAATTATTGCGTTAAAGCTATTGTGATGTTTTTATTCACTTTTTAAAAACGCATTTAAACAATACAACAAAAACAAGAGTTACTTTATTTTCGATAAACGATAAATTAATATAGAGTAGCCTAATGTATTTAGACGCAATATGCTGCCAGTTTGTCTATTTTTACTCCGCCAATGAAAATAGTCCCAAGCATTGATTTGAACTTCACGCGTCTCCTAGCAGCACACCTTTATGAATGAATCAGTTTGACTAACGAATCGGTTGACTAAATGATTTAATGATTCATTCATAAAGAGTCAATTGTCGCCACCTAGCGGCAATAACCATGTAGCTTGCAAAAAGAACCGTTGAAATTCAAATTCCCTGAGTAGTATGAAGCTGCAGACTCGGAGACCTGCATCTACAGTCCCCCTGCACCCAGAGTCCCGCATTCTCAGACCCCTCGTTTTTCGAGACAGCGCCTCCTATCAAATTGTATCGGATAAACATGTGAAGGACTTAAGCTAAAACGTGAGTAGGCTATCTTCAATTTTATTTAGCGAATCGTAGTAGCCGTTTGATTTAAAACTAATTTAGCTCATCGATACAACATATGAATAGTCCATTTAATATTTGTAAAGATTGTAACAAGATTTGAGCCGTTAATGTATGTTTTTTCGCCCTCTTCCCCCCAAAAACATTTATATAGCTTACGTTTACGTTAGCCTTTAACCTTGGACTTTTTGTAGAAATGTCATAAATGCTGCAGTTATTTTCACTGCCCATTCTGTGCCCCCATATATTTCAAACCCACAAAGTTGTCCAAAGTTCAAAAACATCTCAAGGGACACTTCAACAGAGCAGTGCTACATGGTAACTAACATTATTTTGCAAACATATTTTTCTTTTTTCTTTTCTTTCTTTTTTAAACATCATAAGACATGTGCTATCGGGCCTATGTTGTAGGCTATTCCACAGCATATCGATGGAGTTGCCCCTGCCGAATCCAGCAACATATAATCTTATGATTATGCAAAGCGACTTATATATGAGGTTTTTTAAATGCAATTGAAGACGAAAAGTAAAGTCACGAACACAGTTTTTTCTTCCTTTTTTCTTTACAGCAAGATGATGTTTAGGTGATCATTAAATAAAGTACAGAATTATTTATTATTGTTTTTTTGTCTATTCTGATTTGTTTTGCTTCGCATTCAAAATATCAAAAAACAGATATTGTAATGTTAGCATCGTAATGTTAATTGGACCATTATAGGTTGAACTGAAAGAAAATTTGGAATTTGAATTAAAAAATATATTAAAAAAAACATTGTAGCAATATAATATCACATACTATTTTTCTGAAGTTCAATCTGTAATTGTATCCCTTCCGTAACAATTAGTTTTTTTGGCACATGCATTAAGCAGGGAACGCAAATATTTATTGGATAATTTATTTGGAGACCGTAATATTGCATCCTATTGTTTTTAATTGCATTTGGATAATCGTGCGCTGTACTCCGTGTGCGGGTGTTATTCGATCTGTTGAACAGCAGGAGGCGCTATGTTTGAAAAACGAGGGGTCTGAGAATGCGGGACTCTGGGTGGGGGACTGTAGATGCAGGCTCCGAGTCTGCAGCTTCATAATATTGAATTCCCTCAGAGCAGGCTGTCGTCACGACCGAGGATATGTGAGGGATAGAGTAAAGGATTTTTTGGATTTTATAACATTATAGGTTTTTCAATGGCATACCCCTGTATAAAGCTCCTAAATCGCTTGTAATTTTCAAATCATGGAGTATTTTTGACTTCCGAAATGTCTTGGAAAGATGTCTTTAAAGTGTTTCTTCAGCAGAATAATACAAGAAATATAAAACAAGAAATAAAACATTAATTACATAATAGAATAACCCACTGAAGATATGAAGCCTGTCTTTCCCTCACAGCCTCGCTAAAAATCGAAGATGACGCTGCTGTGCTGGAACGTCGGACTCGGTTCACCAATTTGATTGAACAAGAGGCAGCATTCATGCTAATATTTCCTCCAAACACAAGTTTCTTACATTGAAGGTAAGATTGTTGCATAGCATTTAGTATTCACAAACATAACAGCTCACCTTTTTCTCTACCAGCAATGAGTGGACGCTTCCTCTCCGTTTCACTCATAGTCACGATGGCATTTGGGACTGTTTAACCATTTACTTCAAGAAATATATCGTCTGTTAGCCGCCGAGTTAGAGACCTAACTTACTTACTTAATATCAAATCTCTATGAAAAACTTTTCCATAAAATGTAAGCTAACAGAGCTTAAGGAGGAATTAGCATTCACTTCAGTTGTTCCAAGCTGCAAAAACCCCAAAGTAGGTGTAGATCTTCAGAATATCGTCAAAGCTGAGGTGATGGTTAGCCGAGGACCTCTTCATTTTAATCTTCATAGCTTCTCTTCAGTAGGAAATTCTGCTTCTGACCTCTCTTGAATTGGACAAGTTCTCCACCGTCCACCATCTGATAATGTCAAAACCAAAGTCACCAAGTGGAAAACTGATGCTTTGGAGTAATCTTCATTCAACCTGACTGACTCAATCAGGGGCTGCCAAACCCATTAAATATACAAATGCGTTCAAGAGACAGAAGCACAAAGGTGTCATCACTTGGATTAATTGTCATGTAACACTATCTCCATCAGGCTATCCCTCCCCTCACTTACCCTTTCTCGTTCATGCTTTTCTCTGTTCATCAGAGCAAAGACAGACCATCATCAAGCTTGGGTCACCAGGGAGACCAGGCGCTGGGGGCCCCCCTGCAAAGCTGCATAGACAGGCCCCTCAGCAACTGAGAAGCTAGGAGAACATCTGAAGAAACATCTAAAAGAGTATGTACCATCATATTCCTATCCATGCGTTGTATACAATTATGGGAGTGCTTTTTAAAATCACAAGAAGTTGGAGGTAAGTTATGTGAACATGTTCACTGTCCAGCAAACAAACATTAAACATTAACAGTGCTGTCTGATGTTGTGGTAACTGGAGATGGAGGTCAAGAGAGACAAAGACTAGCTGACCCAGCAGACGCAGAAACACATGGGGTCGATGTGTCGCTGGGACCTTTAAACAAGTTTCAGAGAGCTTTGAAGAAGCTGAAGCGGTTAAATAGGGGTTTTGTTTTGTTGCGCCAACAAGTTAAAAGATACTCTAGTTTAAACAAGCAAATGCTTAGTGTATTTGTACAGTTGAAGTAAACTTCGGACTTTACACATCCAAGGACCATTGCCAAAAAAACAAACAAAAAAAAATCCTGTTATAACAGATTGTGAGCAATATTATTGAAAATCCACACAAAATAGTTAAGCTGAGATATTATTTTCAACATACTATGATTTGGTATGCACTAATCCTAATTTTGCATATCATATAGGACAGGGAGTATGCAAATTGGGGTTCACGCATAGCAGAAAGCTTTCACACAATACAGATTGCATATAAAGTTTATTCTCGTTGACTTTTTGTTGTATGTGTGTTGTATGTGATATCATTGAGGTTAAATTCATCTAAGGTCATTAAAATGTACAATGACTTTCAAAATTCACATAGGCCACTTTGCGAATGCATTTTCTGCATAGATAGAGAAGTATGGCCTTTGAGAGTTGATACATTCTTATTGGTACCTGAATGCATAATCAGATTTACCAAAATATATAATTAACTCAAAGTAGTAGTTCACAATGTCATCCAAGATGTCCATGTCTTTCTTTCTTCAGTCGAAAAGATAAAAGATATTAAGGTTTTTGATGAAAACATTCCAGGATTTTCTCCATATAATGGACTTCAATGGGAACCAAACGGTTCAAGGTCCAAAATACAGTTTCATCGCAAACTGTTCAAAGGGCTTTAAACGATTCCAGACGATGAATAAGGGTCTTATCTAGCGAAACGATCGCTCATTAAAAAAAAAAAGTTTTATAAGCTCGAATGGTCGCCTCTGATCTGTGATGTGTGTTCGTGACTCTCCTATTCAAACTCGTTCATCAAAATGAACGAATCTTTTCCAGAGTCAACTCGTTCATTTTGATAAACGAGTTCGAACAGGAGAGTTTGCACTGAAACGGTCTTTTGGACCTTGAACCGTTTGGTTCCCAATGAAGTCCATTATATGGAGAAAAATCCTGGAATGTTTTCATCAAAAACCTTAATTTCATTTCGACTGAAGAAAGAATGACATGGACATCTTGGATGACATGGGAGTGAGTAAATTATCAGCAAAAGTCTTTTTTAAAGTGAACTACTCCTTTAATGATCACAGAGGAGTTTTGTTTGAAGTTCTGCGGGTGCATATAGTTTTATGGGTCTACCGATTTTTATTAAGTATTGCAGTTTAGTCAAAATAGCTTACATTCTGTACAAATCATATTCCAGTTTATGTATCAGAGTTGGTTTTCTCTGATTCAAAGACTAATTTAGCATAGGGTGACTGGAAAAGAAGCTTATTTATCAGCTGCAGTCTCCTCGCAGGGGGAATAAACCAGACACCAATAAGTAAAAATAGTAGCTACACGCCTTAACACACAATTTCGTAAGAAAGACCTGCTCTGGAAGTGCACTTTCAATCATAGCGCATATTAACGGGGTGTAAAACCACACAAGTAGATTGTGTTCAGAAAGAAGGGAGGATCTGACCATGGAAGTGAGAAAATAAAAAAAAAATAACCATACGAACAAAGGAACTAGCTACAAATAAATACCACAGATAGAAAACAAAAACAATAAAATATTTGATTCTTAGGTGAATTATACTTACAAACATAAATACTGGACTATTAAAACTAGATTACAAGAGGAATACAGGGAGACGTCATACCATCACTAAACGTAAAGAGCTATGGAAATTAATTTAAAAACAGAGAGTACTGATATTATTTCTCTTTCCAAACACACACATACACACGCAGAGCTGTCATCTTGCTGAGGGCACCTCTCTTTTCCAGCCCTTCTTTCACACAAACATATTCACAGAGAATGTACAATGTGGAGCTCTCGCATTCGCATGGTCTCTGTTGTAAAGGGGGCAGAGAAACAGACAAAAATTGCTTAATAAACGTAAATGTTTGACATTTCTTGGATGAAAAAGTTATTTAAGTGACAGCAATACATGAATTGTATTTCACCATCGCTCAGGTGAGTCCTTTGTGTCCACTGTGAGGATATGTCCACCAAGAAGTTGTGCGGTGTCTCCCGCCTCCTCTTCCTCTTCTATCGGCACTAACTTCTCACTCTCTGGTGAAAAGCTGTCCGTGTCAGGGTCGTACTCGTAAGAATAGTAGGACACTTCAGCCATAGAACCTGGTTCCTCCTCTCCTATGAAAAAAACAAGCTATGAAAATTTGTTTCAGGGATATTCTTTTTTTCTGGAAAAAAAAGATTTTAAAAAAATTACCAAAAAATCTCAGATTTTTCCCAAGTGTATGTTTTTAGGCCACTTTTCTTTTTTCTAAAAACATGTTTTTGCAATTAAATTGATATTTTAACAGTTATTAATACAAAAAGAATATAATAATAACTGCAGCTAGCAAATATCTATTGGCAGTCAAACATGAATGCAGTAAAAAAAAAAAATGCATGTACAAAATGGCCAGTAGGGGGTGATCCTTGCATATACCATGTATGTATAATAATATAATAATAGAATAATAGAATCTTCTTTTATATATTTATATATATATATATATATATATATATATATATATGAAGAGTTCAGATGCAAAAGCCTCTAAGTGCCATTTGAAATTTTCTTCTTTAATTATGATTTTTATCAAACTTGTATATTTAAGTTCAGTAATTTCACTTAAATAATAATTAATAGGTAATTATCATTGCCATTTAAGTGAAATTACTGAACTTAAATATACAAGCTTGATAAAAATGATCATTTTAGAAGAAAATTTCAAATGGCACTAAGAGGCTTTTGCATCTGAACTCTTCATATATATATATATAAGTCTATTCCTAACCCTAACTGATTATATTACTGTCCTATACTATATTTTAATAGATCAAGTGTTTAACTGTATCTTTTATGTTCTGAATTCATAGCTTGGCTATATTAACTCATTTATTTTTCCACAGAGAATGTTTAAAAAAAACAAAGTCAAATCCCTAAAAAAAAAAAAAAAAACTGAAAAAAAAAAGAAGTCAAATCCCAGCTTAGAGACTTTTGTCAACACAGCTGCTCAGCACCACTTAATCATCAAGGATAATAAATGTCTTCCTTGCGGTTTGGCATTATACCTGAAATTGAAGGCTACTCATTGAAAATAAAATATAATTCGTACACATACCTAAAAATAAGATAACTGAAAAGTAAAATAAATGTAGATTATTTGACATATCTGTTTTTTGTTCTTCAAATCTTTTTGAGATTTTTTTCGGGTTAGACATCACTGCAAGTTATGATTGTGCTTCAAAAAACATTTTCGATCTAAGACTAAGCTAAGTCTGTGTCTAGAAAATGCTCTCACAGATTTACAAAACACATATTTCTGCTACGCAGAGTCTTCCCAAACATATTTACAAATGACAAATCCAAGAGTCACCTCAAGCATTAATAGACAAGCAAACTTGGTAATTACCTCAAGCAAAAAAAAAAAAAGGACTAAATTCTTGCAAACATTTAAACAGGTGGCATTTAGGTAAAAGAAACTTAAAATAAAAGCGGGCCAAAACCATAACCTTGAGGAACCCCAACAACCACAGTCCTATAGACACATTTTCTCAGCCCAAACACAACACAGGGCAAGTCTTAACAGCTCTACAAGAGACAGTCTAATCAGTCTGGGAGTTTTCCAGAGGACACAGACACACATGCCTACACATACACACACACACACACACTTTTAATTTGCCTTAAGAACTAATTGTGCTACTTAAATGGTTGTAATGTTTTTCATCATCAAATTACAACCATTGAGGGTAATACACTACAAAAATAACATACATCTCTGTCCTATTTTACAATAAAAATATTGGAAAACAGGACAGAAGTACATTATTCATAGTGCAATTTCATGTTACGATCTGTCCAATGAGGTTATTAAAGTGAAGAATATGAGGGATATAAATCCTGCTAAAGATACTGTAGTACAGTATTGATCTCCAACCTGGGAACACTTAAGCAGGTTCCAGGGGCTAGTTTTGCTTTGTTAATATGTAAGTTGCGAGTTCTGATGAATGATTTCAAATCAAAGCAAGCAAGCTTTTGCTCGCAGTTAATGGTATTTGAAAAGGCCGAACCCTATACAGGAGGGTGCGAATTGAGTGACAGGAGGCTGGGATGCGAATTATCCGAGCATTAATGTAGTCTGGGCTGATATGCAGGCCTGTGCACGCATAAGCTTCTTGACATGTAGCTTCTGATTGTTGAACTCTTCAACACCTGCCCATGTGTGGCACACGCTCACACCTGCAAGGCACTGACGCAGATGTGTTCAAAGAAAAGTAGGAAGAGGAGAGGATGATACCTGCAGGAATGAGAATAGGTTCCTGTTCTGGTTCTTCTCCTGTAGCATGTTCTCGCTCTACTACAGCCTCCCCCACTGTAAGATGACAATACATACGTAAACAAGTCATGCTCATTTATGTCCATTGCAATACTTTACATTAATTGGATACATTATTTGCTCAGTGTTCTGGTTTCCAGTTCCAGGTCTAGAATAATTTGTTTGCACTTGTGATGCCACTAGGTTTGATATTTTGATGTACGACATTCCAACCAATCAGCTGTTATTGTCAGAAATAATTAAATGTACAAAATAAAACACAAAACTAAGCTTTATATTACCCCATGCTCATTTTCTCACGTTTTTCCAACATGTTGAACCAA